TGCAGGCACTTTTATTAGTCTACTGAACTTCAATATATATAAAGTGGAGTCCATTTAAACAGAAATCTGTGGGGCCACCAGATTTTTGCTTTTGCCAGTCCTCGAGGCATCATGTTTGGACAAAGACTATTATTATGTTGGCAATTTTGATTCTGACCAACCTAAGAAGCAAAATGTTGAGCAGTTGTCATGTCTGAAAACATATTACTTTGTTTACAGCCGAAGTCTCCATATTTTCATTCTACTTCATCATTCATTACTTTTCTCACCCTAGGCTAGGGTATGGGCCACGAACCAACTCATTCCACCTTTCCCTATCCTGGGCTAGCCTCTTGATGTTATTCCTTGTCTTCCCACTTTTTCGTACGTCGGTTTCTGTAACTCTTCTCCAGGTTCAATGTGGTCTTTCCCTTTATTTTTTACCCTGTGGGTTCCAATCCAACACTTTCCTTGTTATGCAACTGCCTGACTTCTTGAGAGCATGTCAAATCCATCGGCACTTCCTTCTTCCCAGCTCGTCTCTGACTGGGCTCTGTCTTGTTCTTCTTAACACTTTCTCGTTGGTGACCCATCAGAAATAATGCCCTACAATAATGGTGAAGATGCTCTGTGTGTTGGGTGTCTCCAGCAACCGCATCACCCGAGATGGGATGAAGGAGCTAGCCAAGGTGCTCAAGCTCAACACGGGGCTCAAATGCCTGGACCTGGGCTACAACCGGCTAGAGGATGATGGAGCTATCTCATTGGCCGAGGCCATCGGCACTTACAATACAACACTTGAGTGGTAAGTAATTACTTGCCCTTGTCTGAGTTGTCTCTTTTGATAGTCTTATCTAACAGCCCCCTGTCCAAGACAATCACCTTTACAAATGACCATTTCCCAATTGCATTATCAATCATTATCTTTAACTAGCGACACTGTTGAAGATGTCCACCTGGGCTGTGCTGGGCGCATTTCTTTACAACAACTTTGATTTCAAATTACTTTTTGGCAATTGCCGTAAACAAATCTTTTTTATACGGAGATCAATCATTTGATGAAGAACTGTCGAAATAGGTTCACTTTAAAAAAATTAAATGACCAGTTTAGTGACCTATTTGTCAATTTTAGATTTCGTACCCAAATAAGACCCAGGCATACAGTAGTCTCCGCCTAAACGCACGCCATACAAAAGCACGCTCCGCTCAAACGAACGCTTTCGTCATCTGACGGGATTTTCACTATATAATTTAGACATACAAACGCACGGTCACTCCCTCTAAACGCACTCTCCGATTTGCGAAACACGCCGACAAGAAAAGCCCGACAAGGGAAATTTTTCACTACAACCTGCACAGCCTGCATAAGACAAGCCTAGAAAATTGGTGAGCATGCCCCTCACGCCGAACAAAGAGAGTGATGGACAGCGTTTTCACATCCAACTTTCCATTGACACATTCACATATAATGTATCTTTGAGAGAAAGTTTCTGACTAGTGTGTGGGTGACTGCGTGTAATGTTTAGTTAGACCTAGACCTGATGCGGGACACGTGTAAATGCCGTAAAACACTAGACAGGCCTCTATAGGATTAAATATGAGCTGCGTTCGAAGAACTTATAACGTACTTGTTCAACGAATCACAAGAGAAATGTTTCTCTAAATGTAGAGATCTATGATTCTGCATGAATTTACGGTCGGGGTGGTCATTTGGAAAGCCACGTGGCTGGGCCGTCGTCTCTATTACTAGATCTATGACTATCTCAAACAGTTTCCTCTTACGCTATCTGTTCCCGATGTTTATAGTGCATTATATTCATTACATTGAGTCTGTCTCCCTCCCTCCCCCCCACCCATTCAACGCCTTTGTATTCTTAAACCCAGTGGGGGAATCCTTCACAAAACAGTCACGTATTGTCACATTATCGGCCAAAAGGCCCCCCACCCTCCAAGGGAGGTCACTAGAGTAATAAGGCATTGAGATGACTGCATCCCTTCCTCCCTTTGCAAAGGTTCATGTAAACCCACGCTCTGTATAAACACACGCTAAGGAGCCCTCCCGAGCACCGTGCGTTTAGGCAGAGACTACTGTAGTGGGTTTACCCCCCCTCACGGAGATAAAGAGTTGAGACAGCCATATTTCTCCTAAACAATAGATGGCTGTCATGGTCAATTTTGACTGTATTAATTTCAAACCTTCTATTTTTCTCTTTTCCTCAGTTTGAACATCGTATACAACAACATTGGCCCTAAGGGACTCTGTGCCATTGCTGAAGCTCTCAACTTTAACTCAGCCCTGACCTCTCTCTACATCTGGGGAAATCACTTTGACGATGCAGTAAACATGGTCAGTTGCTTGTCCTCAATGTTGTCATTATTTTTATTATTATTATGATTATTATTCAGTCGTGCATTCTCGGCATTGAGAAGAATAGGACTGACGTGGTGCTAGTGTGTCGTACAAGGTGACTAAATGGCGAACCAGGTAGTGACTCTGAAAACAGAGTCATCCTCCCTCCAGGTCGAGGGTTGAGTCATGTGGCTAACAACCTCTTCTGTCAAAAAAACCTGTTCCTGAAACACATGCAAGCAAAAACCATTATCTCTGCTTGGCTGGTCGTAGATCTTCTCCAAATGGAGAGTTTATGGAGTGAGGCTCTAAAAGCCGAAAGGAAGCTGCTAGGCAGAAGCCTCCACCATCATTCAAGTCCAAGTCTCTTCGGATTGGATCGTGGAATGTTATGTGTGGAAAGGGACATGAGAGAGATGAAGCTCACTTGGAACGAGCTTGGAAGAATGGCCCAGGACAGAGATAAATGGAAGGAGCTTGTATATGCCAGGAGGGAGAGGCATTGATGATAATGATTATTGCTATTGTTATTATTATTATTTTTAATTATATTATTATTGATATTACTATCATCGTTATTATCATTCTTCTTTTTCTTCTTCTTCTCCTCGTTATTATTATTATTATATTTTTTTTTTCATTATTATTATATATTATTGTTATTATTATTTTTTAAATTATAAGTTTGTGATTTATTTCTAGACTTCAGCAATTGATTCTTAGCCATTAGTCACCGGTGTCGACTTAAGTGTAATGATTTGGCCAGACTAGACTTGTCAACCGTCCTGTTGCCAACGCCCACTTTTGCCACCTTGATGCTGAAATGTTTGTACCGCCCACCAATATGTATTGACAAGTGGGACATTAAGTGATACCTGTCACTGCATTTTGCTATTTATTATTGTTCAGTCATAATGACTTGCATGCTTATAGTGCATATATTTCATTGGCCAGCTGTACACATGTACTAATCACAACATTTTGAATAAAAAAAAAAAAATACAGTTTCATAATCTGTAGTACTCTTTGCATGTATTCCAAAATATTTTGTTAGAATTTTAATTCTGAATGTTAAAAAAAGCAAAAAAAGAAACAGAATATTGGGTACTTTTGTGAAAATAATGAAACCAACTTTTTTTCCTCTTTCCCCCCAAAATTTGGCTTTCTGGGCTTAGAACAGTTGCTGAGAATTTATTTAACAACACAGACACAGTGGCCGATGTATTAAATTGTTGTTGTATTTCATCAAGTAAAACAATGTCACAATGCCACAACTTAGGATCTCACCTCTTTGTTGAGAGTATTCAATTATTGTTATTTCATGGGGGGGGGGGGGGGGGGGGGGGGGGTGTGAAGAGGTGTGAGGTGACACACAAACTCAGATGTATTACATATTTGCTCTATCTCATCGAATGAAACCTAGTTACAAGGCTATAGCTTAGGGTCTCACGCACCTCCTTGTTGAGTCAGAAAAGGAATAGAATTCTCTTATATAGTTATTTCGTTGTTTTTTTTTAGGGGTGGGGAGAGCGGGTGATGGGAGGGGGAGGGGAGGGTGGGTGAGGAGAACGGGTGAGGGGGGATGGGGGGTGAGATGATGCGGCTCATAACACTGCAGCAAGTTACACACCATCATTATCTTTTATCTTCCATGTGTTCTTTCCTCATCAGGCTTTTTCAACCCACCTCCACTCTGAGCGCCTGCAGGAGCAGAACTGTGACATCGGGTCGTACGTCGTCGACGGCAAAGTCTACCTCAACCAAACAGGCTTCCTTATCCGGCGGCACTACTACTACGCGCCCATATTTGGTGATGATGTCCCAGAGTGGCAGATACGTGGGGAGCAGGTGCGGAGAGCGGACCATACTGTGCCCATTGTACACCATGAGAACGATCCGCTCGTTTTGAAATCCTAATTGGCATAATTTACAGGAAAGATGAATAATTAGGCTACATACTGTTGGGAACAAGCTGTAGAGGCAATGTGAAAGTAATATAGTGGATTCCGTTTAAATAAAATGTGGTTAATCTGATAACTGTGGTAAACTGAACAAAAATATAATCCCTGATTTTCTTTTCATCTACTATTGGAGCAACTTCTCTAAACTGTAAACCCAGCTAAACCATAGAAAATCAGACGGTCCCACAGGTTTTAGTTTGAGTGGATTCCTTTGTATATGTTTGTGATCAAAGGTTTTACGAATCACACAACGCATACACCACTCCTCCTGACGAAATACTAGCCTTTACTACTTATGAGCAATTACCGGTATATCAATATTGCCATCAATGCTGATAAAGATGTTTCGTTTTATTTCTCAAATAGAGTTTCTATTAGAATCCCCTACCTTTTCTCTCACTCTTTGTACCTGGGATACATCACTCTCTAAAAATTGCATCCTTTGTGCGTTTTTAAATAAAAAATTGCCATAGACATGTTAAGGACGTGTAATGTCATGTCTCTAATGGAGGAGTGAGCCATCTTGCAGTACATTTTTTGGTATGACTGAAGGTTGAAATATTCTTGTTCCTAGTACTAGTAGTCCCTACGTAAAACGAAGGGCAGTCAAGTGGATCCTCAATACAGCTTGGACTGGTGTAGGGAGGAAGTAGTACAGGTGGCTTGGGGATTTGGAGGGGGGGGGGGAGCAACAGACTGACCACTGTAGATGGTCAGCATTTTGATCCAAATGGGGGATTGATTGATACAATCATAACAACTGCCCTTTCCAGGACTGGTCAGTCAGTCCCTTAGCACTTTGTCATAACATCTCGCCAATTGGCGATGCTTACTGTCCTGTTTCTTTGGGTTTCCCCCAAAATGCCTTTGCCTTTAATGGCAAGGGTTTTTACTATAAGAGCCTTGTGATAGCAAAGTGTTAAACCATGACAAGAACACTCAACTTTCTTTCAAGCAATGTCTATTTCTTATTGTTTAGAACAGGCATGGGCAAGCGTAGCTATTTTGTGGGATGGATTCTAAATATTTTGTGTGCTGATGCAGGAGAATACTGGATGAAATCGATTGAAATACTTATGCTCTCAAAAGTGAGACTAATATTAGAACATTAGCATGTCACTCACGGGCATTTCATAAGATAGAATATTAGGTCTATTGCTTCCAGCTGGACTGGGAACTATTGATTAAAATTAAAATTTTTGGGGTGAATAAATCTATTTCTACCTTTTTGCTTGCCACATTCACTGTTGGTATTAATTACTAGTTTGACTCGTTGGCTGGACTGAAATTGCGCTCTAGCTGAATATGGTCTGAGGGCTGTTGTTGTAGTTTGCCCATTCCTGGTTTAGAAATTCCAAATGATCAGAGCAGCCCAAATGAATTAAGAAAAATAAGAATAAATCACAGAGCACAGCATGACATCTCATCTTCACAGCTCTCTTGCGAGTAGTTATCGTGGCTTTCCACCATCGAGGTGAGAAACTGACCCTACTCTACTCTACTGGACCTTTCGTCTTTAATGATGTAACTTGAAGACTCTCGAAGAAATCTGAGCACTATGGAATCACTGATATTCATTCTATGATGACATCTGACAGTGTAAGATAGTACTTGTAACTTGCAATGCAGCATCAGACTTTGAGCATAGATCCGTAAACTTATCTCATTGAGCCTTTTGTTTTTGTAGATGGAAAGGATAAGATTCACATAACATTTTATGTTTTTTTATCTTTCTGAATTCATTCAATTCAAGTGCTTGCCTCGAAATCAGACAAAGACTTCAATTGTATAGCCTATAATCACTGTCCTTGCTAAGATAGATGCAGGCCTTTTTTTAGAAAGCTCTGTGTTTGAAATCGTTCCCCTAGACTTTGATTGTATATGGAATCTTTAGTATAGGATTAGGAGAATTTAAGATTTCAAAACTGATCTCTATGATAGGGGAAAAAAAGTCAATGAATACAAAGTGTATGTTGTATGCGGGCAGGAGAACAACAGTACCCCCATAAACATGTAAATATAATACGGATAATATTATCTTGGTGTGATATGTGCAGCTTATTTCTTACATATTGTAAAGAAAAACCAGTGTATGGATTTGTGAATCACAATTTTGGGGGCAGCAAAAGTACAAGAAGTCGTCCTTGTGTTGCCTGTATGAATGTGGTGAAAGTGTGAATATTGGAATGTACAGTTTGAATGAATTTATTAAAAAAATGGAACTTGTCTTATGTATTCTTGAAGTTTTTTTTTCATAAATTTTAATAAGATTGCCACACAAATACATCATATTTAATAAGTGCTGAAGATTAGAGGTGTTACTAGTATAATACTAGAGTTGTAGTTGTTGCTGGATCGATAACAACAACAACAGTTGTAGTTGTAGAAATTTTATGCCCCGTCGGACACAATCTTGACTTGATCTTTGGGGCAGACTTTGACCCTGCCCATCAGGGCAATTTAGGGTATTTTGACACTAGTAAAAATTCCACTGTCTCAGAAGTGTTGAGTCAAGGTTGAAAGAATACTTAACCCCTTCGTGACAGCTCCCGTACACCATACATCCAACATTGTGTTCCATGATACCGTCCTCCTAGTACGTCCTAAAATCAGCCGATTATGGCAATCGCGTGGACCTTACTATATACATACACCGTAAGGGATTTTATAACTGCACTACAATAGCTTTGAATGTCCTGGCTATCTAAAATTGGGTACAGTAAAAGTTGGAAAAACCATACGCCATAAAGTGGTTAAACCACAGATGGACTTCCTGCAGATTTATACTTGTACTGTCAGATGTGCTCATCCCGTACTAGACACAGGGTTGTTGGTGGTTGGAAGGTGCTCTGGTGTGGTTTGCTCCTTCTTTCCTATCAAATATCTATCGTCCTAATCTCTCCTCCTTTTGTTGTTTATTTTTGTCGCACCCTTGTAACACCTCTAATCTTCAGCACTTATGACCTAATTAAAACAGACCCCCCCCGGGGTTAGCAATATTATTACGGACTAGTTGGTTACCCCGTTTGATGAACGGACTCAAAAGAATCGATCGTCACGTCATTGTGGGACCAGTGCGCACTGCATCTTGTTTACAATGGCGCCTAAGAAGACAGACTTTCCCAAGATTAGATCTAAACGAAACTAATGAAAAACTGATAATCAAACTACAGTGACTTCTGACTCCTTAATATAACTGCACCCTTTAAATGATTCTGAACCACCATTACTTTTTTCAAATTTGAAAGTTGAGTGGTTAGAAAATTTTAAAGCAACTAAAGTGACGAACTTTCACAAATATAATATACAGACGAAGCTCACCCAGATTAATCACTCCTTTTTGTATCCACATGTTTGCACTAACTGCCGCCAGTCCAAGTTAATCTCCCGTACAAACCACCACTTCCCACCCTTTCATTTATTTATATTTCATTTAATTACACTGTCCATCACCATTTAAATAACTTAGTAGTGTTGACAAAGGAGTCAAACTTATACCATGACACTGTCCAAGATGTAACATTTTTACCAAACAAGATGTCAACCTGTCCAGGACAATCGCTTTTCTCCTCGAAATGGGTAGTCGTCTTGGACAATTTCACGTGTACATAAGAAATGATGAGCCATTTTCTCTCCTACAATATCAATAATATAATTAGTTCTGTTCCAAGACTGCAGAGAAAGGAGAAAGAACTGTTAAAATGGCAACTGAGAACTTCTTGTTTGTTTGTTTGAGTAAAAAGAAGCATATCGATAAAACAATGGTCATTTAGTGCAAGAAAAATAAGACAGATAGAATCAAAGGAGGAAAAGTAAAGAAATAGGACCTACCAGTAGTGCCCTCTAACCACCCACTCTTAACTTCTGAGAATCTGTTTAGACAATTTACTATTATGTAGGACAACTGGAATGTCTTAAAAAAAACCCACACACATAGAAAAAGTAATAGATGACAAAATTGTGACTTGTTTACCACAAACAGAAGAAACACTCATTATGTCACATAAAACAAATCATGTCTGAAAACTAAACTTTAAAATATTGTACGGTGGAGTCTGCTTAAAGTGAACACAGTTAATCTGAAAACAGTGGTAATCCAGAACAAAAAATAAATAGAATCTCTCTTTTTTTTAAAAATTGAGCAATCTCTCCATACCAAAAACACAGCAAAATCAAAGAAAATCCAGGGGCCCTGCTGACGTCAGTTTAGACAGACTCCACTGCAATTTCAACAATCAGAATAAGGGAACTATGACTTCAACATCTTTCATTTAAATATGATTTATTGACATACGCAACACATGTGTTCTCACAGCTTTCATACAGTTCAGTGTCGTGCTGGCTGTGCCTGGTGTAATTTACAAATTCTACTGAAATTTCCGATTTAAAAGCAACATGGCTCTTAAGAAACATCCCAAAACTTTTCAGAAATCATAAACTGGTCACAGATGACAAGTATATGTGTACATCTGTTAGGGTGAATATAAATCAAGGAAAAGAAGATATGTATTTGAAAGTCTTACATTTTCAAAGTTCTAGTAAGAGTTTGATGGCAGTTGCAACACTAATAGGTCATATAAGCGCCAAAGATTAAAAGTGTTACTTGAGTTTAAAAGATGAAAAAAAAGAAAAAGGAAAGGTGACGATATATGTTTTATAGGAAAATGCACCCGCCAACCGCATAACGCAAATGAAAGAAAAGACATCCTATAGTGAGCCGTGTCCAGAGGCTGATTAGTCATTGTCCACTTTAACTGGATCACTTTATTTCATTTGCACACGGATAAGGCGCTTTAAAAAAGTCAGAGGAAGTTATGAACAACATGACGATCCAAACAGCAATACACCTGGCCCACATACCCCACATCTGACAATTACTACATCTCCCCTTGACACCCCATGATATAACAGGACAGAAAAAGTAAAGTGAAGTAAAGAGCAACTTGTGCTTCCAAAGTTGAAAATTCCTGCAATTAATATCCACTGACTTGTTGAAGTTTGCTTTTTTCTACAGCTTCTAGTCATGCAACACTACAAGCAAATGTAAACATCTTATAGGATATATGAATAATAAAATTAAAAAATACGCTAAAACAAACAGCAAATTTTCAAATCTGCAGTACATACTTTATGACGAAGGAAACTACAATGTGCAAATAAAATGAATGATCTTAGATCACAATAAAAAATACTGACTGCTGTACATAATTTAAGATCTACTTTGCCTTGCCATTAGTACATAGTTATCAGCAAACAAAATGAGGAAAAAACAAAACCCAAACAAATAAACTGTTTCAGGAGAAAAACCATATAGAAATACAAAGTATACAAACAGAGGAAATAGTAAGTACAGAAAAAGGCCAATCAAATCGTAACCTTGCGGCAACCCCCCCCCCCCCCCCCAAACCAAGAGTAGAGAAGAAAAAAAGAAAGATCACCTACTATCAAGAATATGATGTGATATTAGGTTACAGATATAAAGTACGCCTGCAGGAATTGTATTGTAAGGTACAAATATCTTTGGTAAGCAGTGTAAATGTTCTAATCCAAGAAAGCAATTTTTTTTCAGGAGGGAGAAAAAACCGATTCATTCTTTAAAAAGTTCTACCTAACTACAATATTTATTTTTTTCTTGCTTTTTCCTGCTTATGGAACAATAATTTTGACAAGATTTTTCTTGAGCACATGCAACAGATACCATAGGTTAAGAAACTGCAATAACAATTTTTCCTCTCTAAAGTTTGGGTTTAGTACATCTAAACAGCTGTAAGGGTATATAAGATGAAGGACCTCTGAGAATAATAATGTAGGCTACATCTCTGATAGGACCCAGCTAAGTAAGTTGAGGCCATGAAAACTTCTCAAATGACCAAAGTTCAAGAATGCCTCATTTTGGGATTTGAACCAGGGCTCACCTGCACCACATTCTGGCAAAATACTAGCTGAGCAAATGTGAGGCAGCGTGGTGGAATCAGGCTCTTGTCAAAATTATCAAAGTGAAGAAACTTGCATTTTTCCACAGGTATGTGAATTTTTATCAAATTTTTTGTTTTTTGGCTCAACACCTTTCATGCCCGTTAAAGAACTAATTTCTGTGTGGATTTTTCTGAAAAACGTTTATTAAAAGCACTCTTAAGCTAAAGAAATAACTAATCTTTGGTGGCCATTTTCTCACTAATTTTACCTCTGAAAACAGGTAACCCCACCTCCTTCATTTGCAAATATCTCGACTTGTATTCAAGAAAAATGGATATTTTTTTCATCCAAATAAAGATAACTAAACAAGCTATAAGATGATACCAATAACTCTACATGCTCAAAAATTGACGAGAGCCTGATTCCACCACACTGCCTTACAAATGATGTGCAGACTACTACTACTATTACAGCAAACACAGGGGAACACGAGGGACTGTGATATGGAGAGGGTGATATGTGCCTTTAACTGGTGGAGAGCATACAAAACGGCTCATCTTTGTTGACAGTAGTGCTGAAGCGTTTTTCTCATAAACATGAGGGCATCCTGGCTGGGCATAAATGTTTTGGACTGCAAATATATATAAAAGTTGTGAGTCTGATTCCTGTTACCGCTGAGCAGAACGTTGCATCCTTCAGAAAAGTAGCCAGTTGTATTGTCTTTCTTTGTTTACCTAGCTGCAAATGAGTACTTGGCAATTGCTTCAGATAGGAATATAAGGATGACAGCAGGATGCGCTTAAAAGGCTGCAAAACTGTTGTATCCACAAAGTGGACTGAAATTGTAATTCTGAAAAAAGACCAGACAGGTTAACAAAGTCATTGTGAATATAACATTAGAACCTTCAGACAGGATGCTTAACTTCAAATGAGAATGTTGGTTTTAAACTTTAACGGGCATAAGTTGAAGGGCATTTTTGTTTTAGCACAAGTCACATGTTATTGTCTCAGAAATTTTTTTGTTTAGCTTTAGTATGGTTTTACGACTGTTACAACTGCATACGGTCATATGAGCGCCAAGGGGTGGATGTCAACAGAGAAGTCCTTACAGGGAATCAGACTTACTCTGCTCACCTCTCTAGCTTCAACAGCACAAAGTCTGCGTCAATTATCAAGGCACCCTGGAAATAGCGGGTCACAAGAGTGTGACAAATATACAAAAGAAGTAGAGGAAGAATGATGATAGTAAGGATTAGGAAAGAAAAAGCAGCAGTTCCCTGTTGTAGTTCAGGCAGTTAGGAGCATGACATCGATGAATCAGCCCATTTACAATTCTACTGTGCATAAAACAGGTTAATGTCCTTCCTTTGGGAATGGCCTAAAGACCCTTCAGTCAGTAGTACTGCCCCGGGGGGATCAGAAAAGTTTACAGTCACATTTTAAAATGATGTTGTTATGAAAACACACACAAATGGAAACAAGGAATGGGAACATGGTAAGCAACTACACAGCATACACAAAGCTTTCAGCAAGAACAAAATTTGAAGGCAAGTTATGAATTTATGCAAGGCCCTTTTGATAAAACCAAAAATAAAACCACTACATGTATCAGAATTGTTACCTACTCAATGCAAAACCAATAGTTTTCTACTCAAAACTTGGAAACATTTCATATAACATGGTTACTCAAAATACCCCAGTTATTATAATCACATTCATACTTTTTCACAGTTTGCATTGTGGCAAAATGGCATTTTACATTTTTAGAGTACAAAAATCTAATTTACATACTAGAAAAAAGTCAGGTAATGAAATGACTGTATAGAAGGATTTAAAAGAAACAGATACTGGCAAAGTGAGGCGAAAGAGGAATGTCAGGAAGGAAGGAAGGAAGGAAGGAAGGAAGGAAGGGAGGGAGGGAGGAATGAAGGAAGGAAGGAAAAAAAAATCAGAGATGATAGAGAGGGAGGGAGAAGGAGAAAGAGAGCAAGGGAATAAAGTATAGACAGTTGAAGGGATAGGTGAAAGTATGGTTTTATAGAAAGCATAATGTTAGGGTAAGTTTCTATTTTTTGTTAGTTTAATAAAAAAGTTTTAGTAAGTGTTTTGCAGCACTTGCCACATAATAAGTCATATAAGAGCAGAAGATTAGAGGTGTTACTAGAGAGTAACATACAATGAAAAGAAAGATGAGAAGCTAAGGACGATAGGCGCTTGACCGATATTTTTAAATGTGTTGGATGAGACAAAACTGATCAACTGTTCAAGTTGGCACCATGGGACACATCATAAACTACATAACAGTGCCTGTGACTGTGTAAGCGTGGCTATTGCTTCATAACAGGCACCACAGGAACAAGGAATAAATGGATGATTGTAAATGTTTTGCACTGCATCAACAAAAACGTACACATAATCTAGGGCAGAGATCTCAAACAACTCAAATTACTCAGGGGGTCGCTGGAGGTAGAGTTTGGGTGAGCCTGGGAGATATCAAGACCTGGTAGCGCTTCCTTGTACGTAACTCGGCCACATTTAGCTACCTTATAATTACAAAGTTTTATAGCATATTTTGTGGCCATTTTGAGTTATTAAGACCATGAGGCCAAAAAACCAAATGCTCTATCTACTCTGTCAGAGTCATAAGATTACTTTAAGTTGTTATATATTCAGAGATTTAAAGAATTGTATTCTAAAAAAGCTTGACATTTTTTAAAAACTTCAAATTCTTTATGTCAAATTTCTCAAAACTAGGTACTGAGCAGATAGATCTTTGCTATTCTAAGGTAGCGATTTGGCATGAAGAAGGAAGCTGCTGAGAACCTCAGTATGGCTTGAAGATGCTCCTCAGTAAGTTTGGAGTAAGAAATGACAACCCTAGCTTAAAAAAACAGGGTGCTGCACAGTGGCAATCAGTAAATTGCATGTTTTAAAGATAGTCTGTAATGGTGTGATCTTGAGCATCATGTGACATTGATGAATATAATTATTGTATTTAATTTGCAAAGTTTTGCTATTTCTCTAAGCCAAATGTCTTTTAGTTTTAGTAAGGTTTACGGTGCTTGCAACAGCATCAGGTCAAATGAACGCCAAGGGGTGGATGTCAACAGAGAAGTCCCAACAGGGAATCAGGCTTACTCTGCTCACCTCTCTAGCCTCAACAGCTTCGACTATCAAGGTACCCCAGAAATAGCAGTTCACAAGAGAGAGACAAACATACAAACGAAGTAGAGAGACAAACATACAAAAGAAATAGAGAAACAAAGACAATAGTAAGGACGAGGAAAGAAAAAGCAGCCAAATTTCTGGGCGGAGCCAAATCAAAGTCATATTTCATTATTTTTCATTCACCAGAAAGTATGTATGAGTAAGAGTTTTACAGCACTTGCAACACAATTAGATCATAAAAGTACTGACAATTAGAGGCAATAAAAGAGAGTAACAAACACAAAATAGGAGGAAAAGTAAGGATGATAGAAATCTGATAGGAAAGAAGGAGCAAACCACTTCAGAGTCAGAGCACCCACCAACCACTTACACATCAGAAAATGAAAGTTTCCCAAGAGGTAAAAGAACACAAGGGAAAAAGATAGGTACAGTCAGAGAGAAGAGACACAGTGCAGCTTCAGGTTGGATTAAGTTTGAGGAAAATAGCACAAGCCTGAATAAAGCACACAGTGTCAAAAGTTATGGTCACAAGGCACTTTTCATATCAGTGTACAATCACCAACAGTCACGGAGAATAAGTCAAAATACATTTCAAAAGTGAAAAGAGAAAACATCTACAACAAAACAAGGTAAGTTATGTCTGAAAAATACATCTTTAAGGGAAAAAAACCCAACTTAAACTACATACCAGTATGCATTTTTTCACAGTTGAAGAAAAAAATACTTTGAAAGAGTAGATGATGCCTGTTAGCTAAGAATAATTTTCTTGGCAAACTCGATACACAATAAATAATTTTCAGTTATCATGTTTCAAGCTTGTGAACAAAAAGAGAGAGAGCCTGCCCATTTTCTTAGTCCATAAGATAACACAACAAATCTTTAAAATTAAATAACAAAACTGCGATGAATAACATTATTTATAGGCGCTCTTACTTGCAAAGATGACAGGAAAGATCATGGCAAGGTGACAGAGGAGATAGCTACGAGATTTGGGTACATACGGGGGGTGGGGGTGGGAAAGAAAAAATCTAGAGAAGTGAACAATTATTCCACATACTTTTAAGAGGAAAACCAAGGGAAAAAAAGGAGAAAGATTCTCAATTATGATGGCGGATAGTTAAACAGTTTTGTATACTGCTATGAACCCTTTGAACCCAAAATACAAATAATTTGGTTGGTGTTGCCGGTCGATGTGCCCCAAATGCTCTTTATATTGATACTCCACTATTACCTCGAACCCAACCAAGTGAACAGGCCCACCAGTGTGGAGACTGCAGAGTTCAAAGGATTAAACCAAACTACCTAAGCGTCTATATTTCTTCACTACTCTCTTACTAAGAAGGTGGAAGGATGAGTTCAGTGAAAGGTCTAGTGAGAGGTCTAACTGTACAAAATACAAAAACTAAAATGATTCTAAATAGCAAATGTTATATACACAGAATTAAATCAGAGGAACAAGAAAGAGGGGCAGTCAGGTGTGAAAGAAGTTATCCTAGACTCGAGATATCATCACATGTGAGAGAATAGACTAAAAACATTTCTCACAATGTGCTGACATATTTCCACACTACATTTTTCAAAACTGCAGTGTAAAAATAAAACGGGTCTTCAAATGGCACAGCCAATTTTCGCACCACATGAATTGTTCTTTTTCTGCGCTTGGAGAGCCATAACATTTCTCAAAAGCAACCTTTTCTTGTGTGAATTTCAACTTGAAAAATTACTGGTTTACAGAAGACCTTGACAGCTTTAGAGGAATCAAAACATTGTTAAAATACTGTCACATAAGCAAAACAACAGTTTTTAAACATATATTTTTTTAAAAATAGAAACTAATTTACGATGAAACATTTTTTTGGTATAATATCGTATTCATACTGTCCCATGACTAAAGATCAAGAACTGTTAAAATGGCCACTGAGAACTTTTAAAAAATCTACCTTTTGACAACTGCAACATTTAAGGAAAGACATAAGAAAAAGTAACAGGTGACAAAAATGGGACTAGCAGAACTCATGTTCTTGACACTCCTTGCATCACACTCATAGGGGAAAAAATTGTTCAGAGACACACATCAGCCACTGTTTGAAGGAACTTTTAACAATAACTTTCAATGAGAAGACACAATGTGATCAATGGAAATACTCACTAATGTCCAAACTGCTATTGTTGTGTTCAAATCCCAATCCAGAATTCAATTCACTAGTTCTAGTTACAGTAGAGCACAGATTACTCAAACACGTAAAACTCAAAATTCAGTTAGCTCGAACAAAATGCAATTCTTTGACTGAACCGCTATCTTCTCTTTATACTGGAAGCACCGTTTTTTCGAACACCTGCACAAATGTGTTGAATAGTTTACCAAAAAAAAATCCTGATCACATCTTTCCTCCCCATTGTCTTGAATTCAAATTATCCCACACACACAATGGAAAACATACTCACAAATCATCATTGAGAGTACCAAGCTACATGATCCTCCCACCCCACAACGTGATACACACACTGTTGATGTCCAGATACATAACCGCACTATACCCATAGTTTGTGTAAGGTGATAAAACTTCCTTGAATCTATCCCTGTGATGGAGGGTGGTGAATGGTGGGGTGTGATCGAAGACAAGACAACATGGTGGTGCATTGGGCTGAATGGTGCGTACATTTTTTGTATGTTTATGTTGGTGCGCATGTGTGATTACTTGAATGTGAAAGTATGGATTGGGACGTGATTACATACTAGAGGTGAGTGGCATGCTCAGATCAGTGTTTGTCATGATCATGATGTGACAAACGAGCAATTTTTTGTTGTTGAAAAACACGAGGCTCATCAACATTATTGCCTTCCTTTCTCTTGCTTCGACACCAAACAAGAACCACACACTATCCATCCTTCTATCCTTTTATCGATTCAGGGTACTTTCATGATGGCAGTGAGTATTTTCAGACCAATATACTGACATGTTTACTTCCCTTGATTTTCTTTAATATCTCTCTCTTATTTTTTGTTATCACAGTTTTCTTGAAGTATGAAAGTGTCCCAACACATTTGTCAACCCGCCTACGTGTTCGAGATATCCATGCTTTACTGTAATATATATATATATATATTTAACACACACACACACAGGCACACATTTTTAAAACCAACATAGTAAAGTTGAAGCTGTGAATTATTGCCAATGGACATAGTGTGCGCAGACCTGAAGTTGAAAACTGTAACCCCACTGTAAAGGATAACAAAAATCTTATATATATCTTGACAGTTCACATGGGTAACACCAACTGCAATAGTTTTTGTCAGAAGAACCAAAGACAATGGATATTGGACACATTACTCAACGTTCTTGCATGATGCTGTTAAAAAACATATAATCAATATCAATAAAGGGCTGCAACTCAAGCTGAAATAACTATCCAACTGTTTTGCACAATCATTTGCCCATTAGTGTTGAGCTGAAAACCCTGTACATAACAAAATAATCCGATCAACAAATCATAGTCATAGGTACAGCTGTCTTTTATGCTCATTTCATCCTCAGACTACACTTAACCAACATCATACACTCTGTCTGTAGCCGTAGATAAAAGGCAGCCCAGTAGGCACCCGACGTTGATAGTCTAGGTAGTCTTCGCCGAAAAAGTTGAGCAAGCAAATTTCTTCGTCGTAAATTCTCTCGTTGAAAAATTTCCAAGAGACGAGGGCGTAAGCTACTAGGCATAGAGGGTTGCACAACATGATCTAGAGGAAAGAAAAGACAGTTTGGTTTAGTGAGGAATTTTATGGCTTTTTTAAAAAAACAATTTTTTTCCAACTCTTCGTTGTACCTGTATTATATCCTCACTAAAGTGGTCTGAACTTCAATAAAGAGTACCACTTTTGAAAGATTGTGCTGCTGAAAATAAATAGAGCATGAGTGGAAGTTGAAGAGAAATACAAAGCTACAGTGATATACACAAATTTTTAAAAGGACTAATCAATAACACGGTTCAACCACCCGCACACGTTTTCATAGTTTGTCATATGTGAGCATTGTAGACCCCGCTAGTTGAAAAACAAAAAAAGTAATGTTGACCCTCTCATAACTTGGGCTCAGGTAATAAGGCATTCTGAGTCTTCATCCCCCTTTCCCTTCGTTTTATCGACTTTTTTTATTAGGGGGGAGGGGTCAATACTTTTAATATTCATTTAAAAACATGTTTCTGTGTGGTTTCACTTACAAATGTTGATTTTTAAAAAATGTGAATTTGCAGTTGAAAAGGACGCCCAAGCTTTGAGAGCCACTTTCTCGCTTATTTTACCTCTGACACCAGGCAAACCCCACCTCTTTCAATTGAAAATATCTTGACTTCTATTCAACATGTTATGAGTATTGCTTTTTCATAAAAATCATGAGGAATGAACAAGTTTTAAGCAGATACACTAACCTTTTCGATCCAGCAGATACATTAATAACTCCATCTGCTCAAATCGCGACCTCAGTGCTTTCTTGTCTTATCTCTATTTTTGTTTGTTTTAGTAAGAGTTTTACGGCACTTACAACACAATAAGATCATATAAGTGCCGAAGATTAGAGATGTTACAAGGGAGTAACAAACACAAAAAAGGAGGGGAAATAAGGACAATAGATGTGTAATAGGAAAGAAGGAGCAAACCACACCAGAGCACCCACCAACCACCCACACTCCATTTTTAATAACAGTGAAAACAGTTCATAACAAAAAGTGAGCTTAAGAAAAAGTCACATTTTCACTATTAAAAAATGGAGATACGACAAGAAAGTACTGAGGTTGCAAAATATTTACTAGTGCCTGGTTCCACTGCGTTGTGACACAAATAAAGATAGGTAGTGTCTGAAACAAACTTCCCTCCCTCATATCCCAACACACACAGAACAAGTCTATTAATCTATGCTTAAACAAACCCAGTTCATTTTGCACAGGTAGATGTAACATATCACATCGATGATAGACCGCGCATTGATTCAGGCATGGCATTCGAAATAATGATATACAGTCGAAACTGTCTAAGACGACCTCTCATTGTCATGGAAAAAAGGTGGCCTTATTACACAGGTGGTCGTTTTACACAGTATCATGATAATGTAAAAAATACTCAAGGGAAGAAATGGAAAGTGCTCGTTTGTACAGATGATTATTTTATACAGGTGGCCGTTAGAGCAGGTTCGACTGTACCATGAATTAGTATGAAAAGATGGTCTCACCTGCGTGCCCAAACTCCAGGCAAACCACCCCACATAGCTCGGGTGTCGACTGAACCGGTAGACGCCATGCGTTACGAGGATGTGCCCATCTTTCCGTGTGTGCTGGATGTGGTGGTTGAAGTTTGTTCGTGCTGTGAACATACTCAACTTCCTCAGGCCTTCTCCTCCGACGGTCAAAATAATGCCAAACAAACTAATCAGATGTAACTGCTTCATGCCTGAAAAGAATAGATAAACATGGAAAATCTCAGACAAATCAAACATTTATTCTAAATCATTGATAAAAGTCTTAAACTCCATGTTAGGCTTACTTCGTCGTATTTAGTTACTTGTCACTGTCATGAAAAAAAAATTAGAGTCTTTGTTTGAGTCTGTGTATTCGTGCATTCTGTTCAGGTCAAACTAGATTATTTTAGCCTTAAACATTTTGCATACCATGTTAGTTAGATGTAGAACAATAAACATTGAAGAGAAAAAGAAATAACAATTCTACATAAAATGACACTATGAATAAATGAGCTATGAAAGAAAATCGTGTTATCATATATATGGAGTTGAACCTGCTGTAAACCTTTTAGTGACTTTCTTCATGAAAGAACATGTAAAACCTTATAAGCATCTTTGCACCAAAATCAAATACAATGCTATCAAGAGCAAATTCAACCGAATGCTTGCATTCACTTACCAGGGAAAGCGTAACCTTCCAAGATAAATTCCAAACAGCTTGCAGCAGCCGCCATCTTATATTCACGACTGTGATCCAGTAAGAAAGACTCAAGGTTCAAGGACTTGGGATTCGTCAGAGCTGTAGACTGGTACTCCGACCAGTGGAAAAAAGTGAGAGCCATGGTGTACCAGCCAAAGTGGTACCAGAATGTACTGTACAAGGTGAGGAGAAAGCCAAGGCTGAAAACAATCCCAAGGTTGCCAGCTCTCACAGCAATCTGAAGAGATGGAACAGAAGAGGGACAAATGAATAGAAGCAGAAAGAAAAAGATGTGGGGGAATCAGGGGGCTTGTCAATTTTTGGGCATGTTGAGTTATTGGTATCATTGTAATGCTTGTTCATTTGTCTTGCTTTCAATTAAAAAAATATCTATCTATCCAGAAAAGAAGTGGATATCATTGCGACCAAAGGAGGTGGGGGTCGTCTGGTTTCAGAGATAAAATTAGCGAAAAAATGGCCATCAAAGTTTGCAGACTTCCAAAAATGCTGTTTTCTTCGAATTCATTATTTGACAAGCATCTGGTTTCACCATGATGCCTCACATATATGTAAGAGCAAAGACAAGTGACAATCAAACCTGATCTAACAGCCATCTGTCCAAGATAATCATGTGTGGTCACACTTTTGACCACAATATACCTTCAAAAGTCATGTCCTGAGATAGTTGTCATGGGTGGCAATTATAATGTCAGTAAGAAGTTGTTTAATTTTTCTGAAAATCTACAATTGACTAGGTAAGCAGCTACCAGTCATTTCAATAAAAGCTCAATGCTGAAATCCACTATGCATGAGCAAATGCAATTTTTTATTTTTCATTCATCTGGGGAATACTTCATTCTTCAAATAAGTTATCCAAGAGCAGCTTTGGTCTCTGTCTTTGACAAAAAAAGGCAGCAAATTCAAACAGGAAATGGTAACGAACCAGCACAGCTACCTGGCGACTGCAATAATGAATTGAATATATTTGTGAGGCATCGTGGTGAACTCAGGCGCACATCAAAATAATTAAATCAAAGAAATTGACATTTTTGGGGGGCTGATAGGCAATTTTTTCTGAATTTTCTTCTTTGGGCTCAACACCTTTTATATTTTATATCCATTTTTAAAAAAACATATTTGTGTGGATTTTACTGAAAAACATTGATTAAAGGCACAAAAAAATGTAAATTTTCAGTTTCCAAGGACTCTCAGGCTATGGAGGTTACCAAACTTTGGCAGCCATTTTCTCACCAATATTACCCTTGAAACTAGGCGACTCCGACTTCCTTCAATCGCAAATATCTCTACTTCTATTCAAGATAGATGGGTATTTTTTTTTAACCAAAAGAAAGGCAAACGAACGGGCTTTAAGAAGATACCAATAACCCCATATGCCCCAAAATTGACAAACTCCTGATTCCACCACATCGTGACACACACACATATATATAATATACAGCCCATAGCTCCTGTAGTGTAAGACAACCACTTTTCTCCTAGACAATTCATTGCCATCTTGAATGATTTCGACTACCAAATATCTATGGGCAATGCCATTATTTTTTTTATATTAAGTTTGTATTCTGTGTTATAATGACTTGAAAATAAAAGCAGGAAAAAGGAGGAGTCCATATTCTGTGAGACAAGAGCATCATAGAGATTGGTATTATATTATACATGGAAACAAGGTTATATATTTATTTGTACTAATACTATTCAAAAGCAACAGGCCAATATAATATAATAACTTTTTTGCATTATTCATTATGTATCAGTCAGACATCAAGATAGTCAAAAGTCTGATACAAGAAGAGCACATGCAAACTAATTAACACTCTCCCTCTAGCTGAAGTTGCATATAACAATTATTATTACAATCCAGCACAAAAGATTCAAACACACAAAACTTCAAATTACCGATAGCTTGAACAATATATAATGCCATTCCCTGACTATATTAATTTGTATATTGACAGGATTGACACACGTACGGGGGCTCTCGTGGTCTAGATATAAATGCTGTTTGCCTTTCATTCAATAGGTCCTGGATTTGAAACCTGACAGTACCGAAAAATATTTTTCTCTGAAAAAATTGTCTCCTTTCACCTCCATTCCTGATCTCAATCTTCTGTCATGATCAGCTTTCGACTCAACCTTCTGCCCTCTACCCCGTCCTCTAGGCTCCTGATTCTTTCTGTCGCCTTTCAACTGCTACTCCCTGGCTCCTTCTTACTGCAGTCTTTTAGTCACACCCCTGATATTAGGGTAGGTAAGATCTCAATACAGCCTTCTGGGATAAGGGCGAAAAATCCCGGAGGTCCCATGTGCACACCAAAAATCCTTTAGTGGTCCTAAAATTTATAAGAGAAGGGTTTGGCCGCCATCCGGGCAAAATTCAAAATTCCTACGAAACTGAAAATATTTAATTTCCTGCGTCCTCATATGACCGTATGCAGTTGCAGTCGTCGTGAGCGCTGTAAAACACTTACAAAAAAAAAAAAAAAAAAAAAAAAAAAAAAAAAAAAAAAAAAAAAAAAAAAAAAAAAAAAAAAGAAAGAAAGAAAGAAAAAGACACCCCAGTGCTGGAGCGCACAGCAGCTCATTTCGAAAAGCTCAATTAAATTTTTCCTTACAAATGCATTGAATTCAAATTGCCATCTGTGCCATCCATGACAAACAGTTACACCCAGCATCATCAAGAGTATCAGGTAACACATTTAGGAGCTGACCAGGTCCCCCCCCACCCCCCCCCCACGGCCGGTATCAAGACAGCAATCATTGCATACATTATTATAAGGAAGAGGCTAGCCGTACTTAAAGATGGCTAGACGGCAAGGCTAGCTGAACTCATAATAATGAGTTTTGCAATACCTAAAGTATTTGTATTTGAGATGAAACCAAAAGGTGCTTTATTGATAACTAGTGCATGTATTTTAAACCTGAAAAAATACTAATGAGACCTGTGTACTCAACAGGGTTGGTCAATATGGCCTAACCTAAGTACAGCTAGACGGCTTGGCTAGCCGTACTTAATTAAATAAGGACAGCTAGACTGGCAGGCTAGCTGTACTATGTGTACAACAATTGTAGTGTTTATAAGGTGCTAGATCTTCCTTGAAGCTAGCTGCTAGTCATGTGATTTGATTGTGGGTGCTGGGGTGAAATAAAAAGAACAAAACAAAAACAAAAGCAAAGTAGTGCCGCTCTGAATTGGGCCAACCTGAGGTGAGTGAATTATGGTTGTGTTTGATGTGCACGTGTGTGTGTGGTTGTTTGAACGTGAAAGTTGGAAGTGATTAAACAAGACGAATTAGTGGCACACTCTGACTCATCTTATAAACCAAAAGGCTCATCAGCATGGCTCTCTTTGGTCTTTTTCTTTCTTTCTCTTGCCTCAACACAAGGTGAATGCACTGATCCTTCATCCTTCTATCCTACTATTGATACTGCATACTTTTTTCATTGTGTTATTGATACCTCATACTTTTTTCGTTGTGTCTTGTCTATGTACACGGTAACCGGGCACGTAGTCTCAGAGTCAATGTGTATGGGAACTGGTCATTTCGTCACACCCCAGCGGGAGAGACTGAGCCAGCTGTATCTGGGGGAAGGGGGTTGGGCGATTGGAGGGGGGGCTGTAGGTGGGCTCCACACGGCGCACTGGCAGTGGAATTTTAGTTGCCGCGGGGGCGCCTTATCACGTCAGGGTCACGGGGGTCAGCTCCCTGTTGCCGCTCTGTCTGGCCTGACTTAATTTTTGGTACTTTTCAACGTACAATTTTAGGTGTATCCTTGTATTTATGGTAATTCTCATTTAGTGCACCCAAAGCATGCATTTCTGTTCTTGAGACTCAAAAAAGAATGGACGCTGTAACTTGTAAGGTTATTTCGTTAGACACGCTTGAGTAGGCAATGCTAAATTGTATTTTTTTCGTACAAGTGTGAATGAAAAAAAATCAATATAACAAAACGGCCTCAACAAAATCTGTCGAACTTTTAGAACATGAACGATATAGCATTGGTGCAGATACTCAGAAAAGATGGTATCTGCGCATATAATAGAAAGCTGTAATTTTGCAACTTTATCCATCGGGCACACAATTCGTTATGAAGTAATTCCTCCAAATGTTTCATTACAACACGATGGTCCAAAGACGCTCGCTGCCTAGCGTCAACACAAGACGAGCCCTTGCCTGACTCCAAGATGGCTCCTCGTTTCGAGTCATTGCACGTCGACGTGGGATGTCCCCATATATAAAGAGGCTGCAAGAACGATCAAGAAGTACTCGGTGTGAAGAAATTGGAGCACAAGGAATGGATTAGCCAACACTCATTGGATTTAATTAGGATAAGAAGACAGCTGAAGGCAGAAGCGAATGCAAGTAGAACAAGAGGATCAAGAGCGGATGCATTGGAGAAGTACAGGACAACAGCTAAAGATGTCAAGAAATCACTAAAAAAAGACAAGGAGGAATTCATGAACAGGCTAGCAGAGAAGGCAGAGGAAGCAGCGGTAGGAGGACACATGCGAATCCTATACCAGACCACAAGGACACTTTCTGGAAAATATGGGAAACCTGAAGTACCAGTAAAGGACCAAGAGGGGAAAACCATTTTTGGAAAGGAAGCTGTCCAAACGATGGGTAGAGCATTTCAACAGTCTCCTGAACAGACCACCACCAAGTAACCCACCAAACATCCTGCCAGCAAGAAATGAGTTACCAATCTACGGTGATGCTCCTTCAAAACAAGAGATTCTGGATGCCATTAGGAAGCTGAACAAAGGTAAAGCGGCCAGTCCTGACCAGATTCCACCTGAAGCCCTAAAAGCAGATGCCAATGTGACGGCAGACATCCTCCTCCCACTGTTTACCAGGATCTGGAATGAGAGCAAGTTCACAAAGGATTGGAAAGAAGGACACCTCATGAAGCTTCCAAAAAAGGGGGATCTCAGCAACTGCAGCAACTACAGAGGGATCACTCTTCTCTCAATACCAGGTAAGGTCTTCAACAGAATCATTCTGGAGAGAATCAAGACAGCAACAGATCCAAGACTACAGGATGAACAGGCTGCTTTCCGGAAAAATCGCACAACCACCGACCAGATTGCCATGCTGAGGATTATTATGGAACAGTCCCTGGAGTGGAACTCCCAGCTGATCGTCAACTTCCTTGATTATGAAGAAGGCTTTTGACAGTGTAGACTGAGCAACACTATGGTATGATACTGAGACACCATGGAATCCCACAGAAGTTGGTGAACCTCATTAAGAGCATGTACGAAGAGACAAGTTGCTGGGTTGTACATGATGGCTAGCTCACTGACAACTTTGACATCAAGACTGGTGTGAGACAGGGATGTTTATTATCACCGTTCCTCTTCATATTGGCAGTTGACTGGCTGATGAAGGAAACCACCACAGAGGACACAGAAACGGTATTCAGTGGATACCATGGACACAGTTGGACGATCTGGACTTTGCAGATGACTTAGCGCTTCTGTCACACTCTCAGGAACAGATGCAAGCAAAGACGACAATTTTAAACAGCCTATCCGAGTCTGTTGGATTGAGGATCCACCCCGGAAAGTCGATAGTCCTGGATAGATGCACGGCGAAAGGAGCAGGTCTCAGTACAAGGAAATGCACTAGAAAACGTCGAATCGTTCTGCTATCTTGGGAGTATAAATGACAGAGAGGGAGGAACAGGCGCTGAAATAAAGTCCCGCATTGGAAAGGCACAGGCTGCATTTATTTCTTTGAGCAGGATTTGGAGGACCAGGGATATCTCATTACGAACAAAGCTTAGAATTTTCAACTCAAATGTGAAGTCAGTCTTGTTGTACGAATGTGAGACGTGGAACGCATTCCATATGTGCATAAAGAGGATCCAGGTTTTCTTGAACAAGTATCTGAGGAGGCTGCTGAGGATCAAATGGACAGACAGGATCACCAACGAGGAAGTATAAGAAGAACCAGACAGAGCCCGGTCAGAGATGAGGTGGGAAGAAGACGTTGGCGATGGATTGGACACATTCTCAGGAAGTCAAGCAGCTGCATAACAAGAAAAGTGTTAGATTGGAACCCACAGGGTAAAAGAACAAGGGGAAGACCTTGTGGAACCTGGAGAAGAGTCACGGAAATGGATGTACAGAAAAGTGGGAAGACGTGGAGTGAAATCAAGCGACTAGCCCAGGATAGGGAAAGGTGGAGAGTGTTTGTTCGTGGCCTATATCCTGACCCAGGGTGAGAAAGGCAATGATGATGATGATGATGCAAGAACGATGGCGCCCGACCGGAAAGTCCACGATAGGCCTTGGCCAGGATGGCCCCGTTTGACCAACAACAGGATCGACAAATTCATTGTCAGACAGTCTGTGACATCATGAACCACCACTGCAGACCGCATCAGAGTCCAACGACGGAAGACAGCTAATGTCCGAGAAGACAGTGAGGAACTGTCTCCGTAGAGCCAAGTTCCCCTCTTGTGTCACTGCCACACTCCCAAGACACACGCCGCCCCATAAAGCAGCTCGTCAGGTGTGGTCTGCTCGTCATTCACAGTGGACACGACGTCAGTGGGACAAATCTAGATTCAACTTGCTGCACCCAGACAGGCGAGCTCACGTCTGGAGGCGCAGAGGAGAGTGGTTCCACCCTGACTGCATCCAGCAGGTGGCACCCTAAGGTGAAGGGTCCGTTCTGGTGTGGGGAGGCTTTTCAGATCACCATGGGATCTCCCTGTACCATATGCAGGGCAATTTGACTGCTGCAGGGTACATGGACGAAATCCTACGCCCCTTGCTGTTTCTCTCCTGCAGCAGATTGGACCATATTTTAGGATCACATTGACCGGCGTATAAGGGACAACAACCCTCCTCCACAAAACCTTCAACAACTCTTGTGCTACCTCATCCAGGAGTGGCAGAAACTATCCCAACTAGCTCTTCGAAGGCATTTCCTGTCCATACATTGACGCTGTACCGAAAGTTTGATCAACCAGGGTGGCTACACCCGGTAACACCCACTTGACAATGTTCATGAAGAACCACCATGGCTGTTCAGACTTTTGAAATCCTACCAGTGTGATTTAAGCTCATTTTTCATGAATTTCTCGTTGTTGTTGAAATCTGAAATTGTACATAGATCTACATAAAATAATCTAGATTAGATCTAGAGAGTCAAAAGCATCTTTTAAAAAAAAAGAATAAATTCGGTAAAAATAAAAGTTTTTCAGTTTCTGTCTTTGAATTTTTGTTCCTTGACTTTTTTGTGCGAGTTTATGATGTATAGATCTAGATATTTCTACATCTAGATGATCTAGATCTACATCTAGACTCCTCTAGATCTATATTCTAGATCTGATCTAAATCTAGAATCTAGAATCTAGATCTAGATAGAATCTATATTCTAATCAGATCTCTAGATATAGATCTAGATCTAGATCTAGATTCTAGAATCTTAGACTTAGAAAGCTTTGGCATTTTCATATTTTTTCCCTAAATCTACATTTATACAATTCCGGCAGAAAAACTTCACACAAACAGAAAACTCACCCTGTAAGAGTCCTTTTGATGAACATAGACGGCAGAAAACACAGCATTGCACACAAGAAAATGAATAATTATCAGAGCATGCCAGAAGTCCTTCCAAAGAAAACCAATAAATGGGATTATACTAAAGATAAGAGGGTACAAAAAGAGAGAGGCTCCGGCCCCAAAAGTAAGGAAGCTTATTCTTGCTTGTCTTAACATCCCTAAAGCGATATATATTTTTTTTTTACAAGACAAAAGAAAATTCAACGTATAAGGTCCGGTCTAGGTGTACAGTTGTCATCGAACAACGCAAATGACAGATATCAAACTAATAGCAGTCTTCCAGCGTCCGCAGTAAAGAATTATGATTTGCAATTTTGATGTGCTCTTGGCTGCATTAAAAACACTAATAAGATTCATATTGAGTGACATTGAAAGGTATAAAAACTGTAGAAGACAAACAAAAAGAAGATATAGAAATTTTATATGGTATGAAAAATCTTGGAATTATCTTGTATGCCATTTAGAAGAATTCAATTTGATTCTAATTTATAAAAAGATATGAGTAGCTTTGATGCTTTTGTTTCGTTTCCAAACTTTCTTCCGCGAAGGTTTGAAATCAGGGAAGTTTAGTTTACTTCTGTGTACTGTGTAGTAGGTAGTGTGTAGAATACTGTCAACAGTCAACACAAGAGAGGGCAGTTCTTACAACAATCTGATTGTCTGATGCGTGCAAGTAACATAAACTAAGCCTAGATCTAGATCTATGTGTTGACTGTTTGTTACTTGCTAGATTTCTAGATTAGAACACAGTGGGTCAGTTCTTTGGCCGCATTTTAGCCTAGGACCGTTCAGACCTTTGCTTGTAATTGTTTGTAGTTTGTGCTTTTCATTGCATCGAGTTTGAGTAACTTCAGCAATAATTTTGATTGAATAGTAGGTCGAGATCTAGATGTCTAGATCTAGTTCTATATATAGACCCCTTCCCTCACCTTCTCTGTGCTGTCTGAACTCTCAATTGATACTGTCTGTCAGTTGGATCTAGATCTAGACTAAATCTACTAGAACTTAAGAGTACCACCAAGGCCAGCTCTGTTGACGAAGTACTAACGTGGAAATCAACGTCATTCAAAGAGTGATTCCACAGTATGTATCCAGTTCTAGTCTAGTGTTAGTAACTTTTACGGCCGGCTCTAGATTAGATCTATTTCTCTGAACACTTGGGAAAATAAACTAGATCTATTTCTCTGACGTCTGAACAGTTTCCGTTCTCGAGATTTTTTGGTCATTTGCGAATGGAGTTGTGGCCTGCGTGTGTTGGAGGTGTGAACGGGGAGGAGGGGGGGGGGTGAGCGGTGGAGGGATTTTTTGTTGTTGTGATTTAGCATATATTTGCTTTTATTGGGGTGACTAAAAATGCAAACGAAGTGACTATTCGGACTCGAGTCCGAATGAAAAATGTTTTTCGGACTCTGATTCTTGTCCAGCATGACATCACTTTCGACCTCCTGTGACTCGTGACTCCGGCTTCCTGTCCTGCCTCACTCGTGACTCGACTCAGGCTGGGTAGAGACCAGGATGACTTTGGGCAAAAATGGCGTTTTGTGCAGGAGCCGAGTTTTTAATCTTATAAATGATTGATGAATTTGAGGCCGGCCTGAAAAGTTATAGATCTAGCGCTTCTAATAAATATATGTTTATTTGTCAAGAGGTCATCAGAAGCAATTAAAGATGGCTGGTTGGCGTGTGTCGGGGTCGGATGGGCGGCTTGCACACGTGTGGCTGTATGTGCGTGTCGGGGAGGGGGGGGGGCGCACTATCGGTCCGGGCGTTGAACGTCGCACGCGTCAGCCTTTTTTCCCCCGGCAACTGATCATTATTACAATAATAAACTAGTCTTGACGTAGATCTACGTAATGAATTGTGCGCTGGTCTGTGGAATCAAATGTTGCCGTATGCTCGGCTTTACACAGCAACACAACTTTTTCTTGGTAAACAATCGAGATGACACAGGCTTGTGTATTTGAACGAATCGGTCTTTTTTTTTTACACAGCTCATAATATGCAAGAGCCAGGTGGTCTGCTAATCTTCAATTTTACCTTTTTTTACAACAAAGAAAGTGGGAAACATGGGAGGTGGGGGGGGGGGCGTATCAATGAGGCGGCGGGCATCGGATCGGCAGATAAGGTGTGGGGGGAACTAAAAAATGGTGGAAAATTGGACGCACTGAACGTTAGATCTATAGAACGAAGACACACTTCCTTTTTTCTGGACCCGAGTCCGAATAACATTTTTTCCGAGTCCGATGAATTTTTTTTATTCAGACTCGAGTCCGAATATTTGAAAAAATGTTATTTGGACTCGAGTCCGAATAAAGACGGCCAAATGCAAAATAGCTTACCTGCCAAAATCGAGCACTTGTGTTTTCTTGCAGTACCTTTTGAAGGCATTTTCAAATGGAAGAGCTCTAGGCTAGCCGTATGACGGCTGGCTAGACTGCTTGCGGCTAAACTGGTGGGCTAGCCGTACTTATATGATGGCTAGACTGACCCCCCAAAAATAGGCATACTGAATTGTATAAATTTTTAGTTTGCTGTACCTAAAGCATTTTGTATTTGAGATGAAACCAGGTGCCTTATTGACAATGCATGTATTTTAAACTTGAATAATTACTAATTTAATGAAACCTGTTGTCTATCTAATATTAAGAGGGCCTAAGATGTACGGCTAGACTGGCAGGCTAGCCGTACTTATTACGGCTATACAGCTAGGCTAGCCGTACTTAAGGACGGCTAGACAATCAGGCTAGCCGTACTTATTATTGATGGTTGCATTGTAAATGAAATTTTTAATTTGCAATGCCTAAAGTTTGTATAATTTCAGACTAAACCAAAAGGTGCCTTACTGACTTGCATGTATTTTAAACCTGAATAATTACTACTAAGATCTAGATCTAATGAGGCCTGTGTACTCAACAGGTTTGAGTCGATAGGGCCAAACCTAGATCTAAGTACGCCCATACTTAGGTACGACTAGATTCTCAGGCTAGCCGTACTTAAGTATGGCTAGCCGCTTCGTTTTCAAATAAAGTGTAGTCTGGGAACGTTGCCCCAACTACAAACTACAATTGAAGTAATATTCAGGCGCAACTAAAAATTTCTAGCTTTAGAAATTGAATTCGTTGTAAAAAAAAAAAAATGCTTCTTCCCTGTCCTCGCAGAATGAAAGATGATGCAAGAACTCTCGCATTTATAACCCACAAAACTTGAGAACGGAAACCATTAGGAGAAATACAGTGAGTTCAAGTTAGTCTATCCCGAGCGTTCGGAGAAATAGTCACTTCAAACTTTTTATTCAAAAAATTGTTAATTTTATGAAATTTTTGTTCAACTGTCGTGCTGTTACATTAGAATCTAGACCTAAGTCTAGATGTCTAGATTTTAGAGATCTACTGTTGTCTTTGAAACATTCTCCCTATCACTCACACTCACGGTTTGCCCTCACCCCTGAGACAGAATCTGAGATGATTTAGATTTTTCAAAACTCTTTAGTTTAGCTAGGCTAGATCTAGATATTTAGAGGTTGAAAGTGATTATAGTGGAAGACAGTAGTAACTTCTTATGAAGTAACCCCCCCCCCCCACACACACACACAGCCAGTAGTCCAGTAGACACACCTTCGCGGCCGTTCAGGCCCTTCCTATCATTCATCAGGTGCTGGGGCGTAAAAATGGTGTATTGCGCCATTGTGTGTAAATAATAAATATTGATGTTATTTAAAGTAAAGTATATGGTATGATGGTATTTTAATTAGGCATAATAGACAAATAGTTACAGATATAATTTCCTTTTATTCTTACTCAACAGGGAAATTGTAACGCTTTTCTTGTTAATTTTTATCTGTTTTGCACTTTACATGAGACTGTAAAATGACTTAAAAATTTATAAAAATATCCACATTGCAAAATAATAGGAGATTTGAAATATTTGATGGTTCTTGTTTGAATTATATAATTACACATTTATTTGGCCTAATAGTTGTGCTGTAACTTAATTTCAATGCATGCATTTCGGACCGATCCTGGTCTGGGCCCCCTAAAGTAGAAGAATTTTTGAGAAAGTTAGAGGGTTATGGTGGGGGGTATGCCCCCCCTTTTTAAAAATGTTTTGCAAAATAGAGGTTTGAAATTCTCTAGAAAGATTTAAATTTATTTAAAGAAACGGTTTAATATAATAAGTGGCCACCATGCAAAGATATGGCTGTTTGACCCCAAAAAGAGCAGTGCGTCATCTGTGTACCGAAGTGAAAGTAAAAAATTGATAAACCTTTTTATGTTCATTATACTAGAAAGTGCTAGTTGGTATTGATTCAGATAATTTTTAAAAGCTATTGATGCTGGACTCATATCCAATTTGTTAACTTTAAGATCTATGTCAGTGTAGTGTTTTGTAACTTTTGTAAACTAGTGTGTGTTGTTTGTGGTGTGCTTTGGCTTTAAAAAATGTTAATCAGATCTTTTGAAGTCCCTCTTTTGCCACTTATTGGCCTTTTATTATTTTATTTTATTTGTCTTGTAATTAATTAATTACATCTGAAGCTGCTCTAATGGCAACATGTCCAAGACATTTTTATCCGTACAAATGACCACCACTTTGAGAACTGCTTCTCTTCCCTTGAAAGTTCTTTTTCTGTCCAAGAGGACCACTTGTCTAAGATGACCTACAATATTCTCCTCAATAATGAGTGGTTGTCTCGGACAGGTTTGATTTTATATTAAAAGGTCCATAAATTATTGTGGCTCTGTACCCAGATTATGTCTAGTACTTACTTACTTTACTTTTACTTTTTTCTTCCGCTTGTACTGGGGGGTGTCGCGGCGAGACACAGGCGTCTGTCTGCTGCAAGGCGGGTAGCCTGTTGGAGGGACATCCCATGAACTCTGAGGGTGTCTGCCACAGATTCACTCCAGCGTCCCCTTGGTCTTCCTCTGGCTCTCCAGCCAGAATATTTGATGTTGTATGCCCTCTGAGCTGGTTGGTTTGAGGGCATCCGTGTGAGGTGTCTGAACCACTTGATCTTTTGTCTCTCAATGTGTGGTAGGACTGATGTTGTTCATACCATGTTCCTTATGATTTCATTTTTTATTTTGTCTCTTACTTCTTGTTTTGTTAACTGCTCTTCTTAAACGTGTCTTTTCACATGTGACCAGCTTCCTCTCGAGGGCTTTTGTTGGGGACCTTGTCTGGCACTGATATTATTTGTGAGCGTTAGTAGGAAAATGCGTTGATGAGCTTCGCCTTTTGTGCTCATGGTGATATTGGGATGTTTCAGGAGAGGGGCGAGTTGATAGCTGACTGCATTGGCTTTCTGGCATCTAATAGACTCTATTTCTTGATCTAATTTTCCATTTTCTGTGAAAATGCTGCCCAAGTATTTGAATTCGCAGCTATGTTTTAGTTTGGATCCATTGATGTTGATATCCACTTTGTCTGATCTCCTGCTAACTGTCATGACCTCGGTCTTGCTAACACTGATCTTCATGTCATATTTCTCGCAGCTGGCGTTTAGTTTGTTCCCTGTAATTGAGTCTTGTTGTTCATCATTGCCAGGTCATTTGCAAACATGAGTTCATTGAGTGCCTCTGGGTCTGGATTGGCCTCCTTTGTAATCTTATCCATGTAGATCACCAAGAGCAGAAGGGAGAAATTGCAGCCCGGATGTTATTGGAAACCAGTCCGATGTTCCAATGATAATACGGATTGCGCTTCTGCTGTTGGCATAGATAGCCCTGATATTGTCTGGCAGTTGTCCCTTGAAGTCGTACTGCTCAAGGATCTTCCATAGCTTGTTTCTATTAACTCGATCAAAGGCTTTTTCCTGATCCACAAATACGAGATGGAGTTATGTCTAGTAGAACTTTGAATTTGCGTGACAGTGAGTCAGTGACTGTGTCAGTGATAACGTTCTTTTCCTACTGCTTCATTCATAAAACCAATTTGCCTAAGTACTTCGCCTTTGAAATGGAACTATGTTTTTCTTGTAAATATACATCAAACTTGACCACAAATGTCTTTCCGTAAGTTTATGTGTATAGAAATTGTTTTCTTAAATTTTTTTCTTTCATAAGGTGAGTCATGGATAAATCTGGTGAGAGTGAAGAAGTGACACAGACGAACGAAGATCTTGTAGCAGTTCCTGAAGCAGATGATGACTCTACAAGAGGAAGTTTTGATAGTGGAGGTATCGTCATGGGTTATTATATCTCTAAATCTAAATCATTTTTTGTTCCTTTGAGAATCGAGTTAACCGAATTTGTTGTTTTATAAATATAGTGATACACTTTTTTTCATCGAAATGTCTAAATTTAGAATAAAATGGCTTGGCACTTTTGTAAATTCTAATACAGTAGTCTCTGCCTAAGATCCCACCGCTTACAATCCCGGTTCGCTTAAGATCCTGTTGTAACAGAATTTTTACTATACAAAAGTCACCCCTAAGATCCCACTGTGATCCGCTCTGAAGGTCTACATTCAGCTAAGATCCTGCATTTCTGATCATAGTTTACGGAACAAACACCCCGGCGGGCACGGCACAGCCGATCAACCAAGAATGAAAAGTTGAGATGAATGAACTGCCCGTTACATCAAAGATCAGCCACTCTCTTGAATGTGATCACATAAAACATTGTAAAACTCGATTAAACAGTACAATGTTTGTCCCAGATGGGATCACACGGATGTGTGAATTAACCTAAACGTTTGTTTTCCCCCGAACTTTGCACTCGCACCTGAGCTCTCCACCTAAACTTAACATCACTTCGCTCCAGGTGGGATCACATCGTGCTGTGAACTCTTCCCTGACCATTGCAGCAGTTTTCTCTATTCCTGAGTTTGTGAGACAGACTGAATTTTAATTTATGTGGTCACGACATAATGGTGCATAACGACAAAGGCGAGGGAACTTGGTCAGAGAAAGAAAGCTATAAATTTTCGATAGGTAACGGTGAGGTACAACTGGATAAGCGTAGATCTTGAGACGCACGATAGGATAATAAGTGAAAATGGCACGCCTCTTGCCACCATGCACTGTGATAGGTCATCAATGTTAACCACTCCAGATCACCATGTGTCATAAACCCACCCAGGGGGTGAAGTCAGTTCATTTTAAAGTGGAGGGAGACTTTTTACCGATTATGAGCCTTAACATGGGTCACCGTAGATTCTTCCCTAGGTTCATGGGCTACGACCTCGCATTTTCCTTGCTCCCGAGCACCGGGATCATAGGCGGAGATTATTGTAAAATTAAGATGCGCCATGAAGAAATAGTTTACAAAATACATTATATTATGGTTGCATTTCTTTTTGGCCTAAGTTTGACTTAAACGCCATCACCGTGAAGTTATTATATATATATTTATTATACCATGTTTCCGTTGTTTCACTTCAGGTTTTTGCTCAATTCTTTCTTTTTCTGTCGTTGCTGATGCAAGGCTCATTTTTGAAGGATTTGTTTTATTCAGAAAGACGGATTGCATCATAGAGTACTACAAAAATAGTATACTATTAATTATTCTTTTCATGCACATTTGTTTGCTGGTTGCCTAGTTTTGATTTTGAGATTTCACATATTGACTCTAGTAGTTGTATTATCTATGAATAATTGGAAGTCATTATTAGTGGGGGGGGGGGGGGTGTCTCATTATCACTATTTGATTGAATCTTCCTTCCCTCCTTTCGAAAGAGAGCAACATATTGTCAGTTTGAGTTTGTTAGCTTTTGAGTACTTAATGGGCTGCTTGCATTGTATGCTTCCCAGGAAGTCGAGAATGCTTCTAGTGTTCCAGAGTCTGTTGAGGTTATAATATAGATTGTAAAACGCAAAGAGCTTGCTGTTGAGAGGGGAATGCGTTATACAAATGCTTTATGAATTATTATTATTATATTTATGAGCTTGGCTTAAATCTAGCTTAATTTCTGTTAAACTATAATGGGGTGTATTCCAGTACATTACTGTGTTAATTAAAATCCCCAGAGAAAGAAAAACTACTAATGATTTTTCAATTTATCTTTTTTTTAAAAATCAATTTGTCATCAGTGGCAACTGAAGATATGAAAGTGGACCTGGAGTCTGATGGGGTTGTTGAAGCGATGACTTTGTCCGGAACTGATGGGCAGGAGGATTCTCATCCTCGAAAAAGAAAAAGAGAAGTTGGTTGTTTTTTTTGTTTCTATTCAAAATAAAAGAATATCTTTCCTTAGTTTTTTGTTTCTAATAACAATAATAAAGTACTTTCCCATTTTAAAAATTATTTTTATACTTCCTTAATTTTGAACATATTACATTATGGTGGGAGTTGTGGTTGGGGGAGGCGTTTTCACTCATTTTCATGTCCAGTAAAATAACAACATATCACGGTTTACTTTTGTCTGAAGCTGCTTCAGTTGTGGATAAGATTATACTTAAAAGTGAAAATTTGTAGATTAATTATAATGAAGCTGTGGTGGCAGACAATGTATATGTGAGGCAGCGTGGTGGAATCAGGCTCTCGTCAATTTTTGGGCATGTAGAGTTATTGGTATCTTCTTAAAGCTTGTTCACTTGTTTTTATTTGGTTGAAAAAGCTATCCATTTATCTTGAATACAAGTCGAGATATTTGTGAATGAAGGAGATGGGGGTCACCTATTTTCAGAGGTAAAATTAGTGAGAAAATAATCGCCAAAGATTAGTTACTTCCTTAGCTTAAGAGTCCGTGGTAACTGAAAATAAAAATTTTTTGTGCCTTCTATCAATGTTTTTAAGAAAAATCCACACAGAAATGAGTTCTTTAATGGGCATGAAAGGTGATGAGCCAAAAAACAAAATTTTGATAAAAATTCACAAACCTGCAGAACAATTCAAGTTTCTTCACTTTGATTATTTTGACAAGAGCCTGATTCCACCACGCTGCCTCACATATGTTGGAAGTTTCTAGAACTTTATTATGATGTTCCTCCTGTAATCCAAACACTCATGGGATTGCTTTGAAGAAGCACATAATCTGCAGTCGAACTTGCAGCTTGCTCTCACCGCCACCTGCCCAGGACAACCACCTGTACAAGCGACCACTTGCCACATTTCCTCTTAAGTTTTGTCTATATACAGTAGTCTCCGCCTAAGATCCCGGTGCTCGAGATCAGGGAAATTCGGAATCTTAGGCGAACCACGATCTTAACCGACGAACCCAGGGAAGAATCTATGGTGACCCATGTTAAGGCTTACAATCTGTAAAATGGTCTCCCTCCACTCTACAATGAACTGACGTGCCCCCTTGGTGGGTTTATGGCATATGGCGAGCAAAGAGGTGCGTAGTGGCATGAGGCGTGCCATTTTCACTTATTATCCTATCATGAGTCTCAAGATCTATGCTTATCCAGTTGCCCCTCCCCTTTACCTGTCGAAAATTTATAGCTTTCCATCTCTGACGGAGTTCCCCCCCCCCCCCCCAAACCGCCTTTGTCGTTACACGCCATTACGTTGTGAACACACCAATTAAAATTCAGTCTGTGTAGAAAATTCGGGAGTAGAGACAACTGCAGCAATGGTCAGGGAATAGTTCACGGTTCGATGTGATCCTGCTTGGAGCGAACGTGTAGGCCCTACCCACCCAGCGAGTGATGCAAGTTTAGGTGGCAAGCTCAGGTGTGAGTGCGATGTGTGGGGAAAAAAAACCTCGTCAGTCAGTTCACCCCCCGGTGTGATCCCGTCTGGGGCAAACATTGTATCGCTTCATCCAGTTTTACAACATGTATGTGATCACATTCACGATAGTGGCTGATCTTTGACGCGGCGACGGACAGTGTATTAATCTCAACTTTTCACTCTTGGTTCATCGGCTGTGCCTGCCTGGGTTTTTGTTTCGCAAATTATTATCTGAAATGCGGGATCTTAGCCGAATGTAGATCATCAGAACGGGATCTTAGGGGTGACTTTTGTATAGTAAAAATTCTGTTTTCCTAAAACAGCGGGATCTTAAGCGAACTGGGATCGTAAGCGGTGGGATCTTAGACGGAGACTACTGTATTATAATGACCCTGTCTAAGAGGACCACCTGTCTTAGATAACTGCTTTTCTCCTCTGCTATCCGAACCTGACAACAGAGACCACATATTATATGTGGTCTTTGTTGTCAGGTTCGACTGTATGTGTATGGTGCAAGTTTTTTCATTTTTGTTTCTAACATTTACTTTCACAATGCAGGTTGGTAAAATTATGCTGACTACAAGTAGTTTTACGTATCCACTTGGTTTTGAAATTATTAATATCTTAACAGTACCTGAGAAAATCTTTGAGATTTAAACTTGTTTCGATCACGCTTAAGTTTAAATACCTGTATTGACATCTGTTTTTGTTGCTCTTGGTTGATGGGTGCATCCCCGTCCTTAGCAAGTGATCTGGTGTGGTTTATTTTGTCTCTCTTCCTTTTATTTGTATGTTATTTGTAGCAACACCTCTGATGTTTGGCTCTTATATATATGGACTAATTGTGTTGCAAGTGCCTTTAAACTCAAACTACTGGGGTGGTTGGCGAGTGCTCTGATGTGGTTTGCTCCTTCTTTCCTATCAAACACCTATCGTCCTTTTCTCCCCTCCTTCTATTTTATGTTTGTTACTCTCTTGTAACACCTCTAATCTTTGGCACTTATATGACCTCATTGTGTTGCAAGTGCCGTGAAGCTCTTACTAAAACTAAACTAAACCCAAGCTATCTTAAGTAACCCTTGACGTTTGATCCATTTTCAGACTGAAGGGAAAGGGGGCGGAGGGCTGTCATGGTCTAGAGGCTACAGTGTTCGCCTCTCATTCAATAGTTCCCGGGTTTGAAATCTGACAGTGACGGAAAATTTTCTTCTCTGAAATTTTCTCGTTTTACCTCCTTTCCTGCTCTCTAACCATGTTCTGTCGTCTGCTTTCATCTCCACTTTCTGCCCCCTCCCTCCCTCCCTCCCTCCCCATTGCCCACTCCTCTAGGTTCCCTTCTCTTTGTGCAGCCTTTCTGCTGCCACTCCTTGGCTCCTTCTTACTGCTGTCTTTCAGCCACACCCATGATCTTATGGTAGGTAAAATCTAATACCTAGCCATCTCGGATAGGGGCAAAAAATCTGTGCTAGTAGTTGCGCTCGTTAAATGTCCCTTGGTGGTCCTAAAATCGATAAGAGTAGGCTTCGGCCGCCACCTGGGCAAAATTCAAAATTCCTACCAAATTGACAATGTTTAATGTGTCCCGCGCACTCAGATGACCTTATGTAGTTGCTGTTAAATACTTGAACTAAAACAAACAAACTGAAGGGAAGCTGTGGGTTGATGAACACTATTCTGGTCTGCCCTTGCTCTTTATATATCTCTCTTTTCAGTGCTACTCTTTCCAATGTTGAATATGTTTGGTAAGGGATGTTGATGTTGTTAGGCATACACATGTAGTTTGCTTCAGCTTGGCTCGGGGATGAGAGTTGTTTTTGTTTATTTTAAGAATGGTAAAATACTTTTTTTTTAAATTGGTTCTTTTGATGACTTCTTTTTCCAAGCTCTAGGATTCTTTGAAAGTGAAGAAAATGGATCAGAATTGTCAGTTTGCCATGAAAAGCATGTTGCGTATTAGTGTTGATAAAGTACAAACCTGGACATTTTTTCCAGGAGGCATTTAAGGCTGCAGACAAGAGCAAGTGGTCGTACAAACTGAATGGTCAAGGTAAGTTCCATAATATAAGGCCCAATTCTAAGGGAGGAGAATTTTTATTGAGTATTTTGGTATTCCTGCTAGGATTTTGTTTCTCTCTCAGCCCTTGTTGGCCCTGACAGGCAGAGGGTTGAAGCTTGCCTCCTAAATGATCTAAACTGTGGATATGGATGTAAAAATACCTACAATTTAAGAAATTTAAAGATTTGCAAGAAATAGATTGCATTTTATTTTAAAATTTCTCTCTTTCCCATTTACTGCAATCCAGATCTACACTTGTCAATACTGAATTTATTGAACAATTACTGTAATTGTGTTTACATTTTAAGTTAAATGGGAAAGATACATTTGGCAGTTTGTTGCAAATTGCTGTAAAAAGATCAACAGACAGTGAAGTATACTCTGGTATCCTGAAATCTTTGCATTACTTTCTGTTATGCCTTCACTTTCTTGTCTCTTCTGTTTTATTTGTGTGTTTTTTTTAAGCCAGGGCAGTTTTCGTTGGAGCATTCATTCCAGAGTATGCTTTACAGTAATGAGTATAGAGTTTTTCAACCACTAATATGTTTTAGTGTAGTAATATAATGACTTAGATTACTGTTGTGTCAGCTTTGATGATATCTGAATATGATGATTGCCTTTGAAAGTATGTCATTTTGACTATGTGAATAGATTTGGCGTAAGCTTTCTTTCTTTGTTTTCAGATATTGGACTAGCTTTTGATGAAGCTGCCTTTCAGGTATCATGCATTCGTATGTAGATAGATATACTCTCGATTCTAAAAGAATCAAAACTGAAAGAAAACTGGCTGCATGATATAATTAGAACAAGAAAAATGAAATGCTACTATTTTGTCCACTGATTTACCTATTTGTTTAGTAAAGTATAATATATTTTATATTACAGGAAAGGAAAATGAAAGGGGGATTTAAAAGAAAAAGGTGAATATTTCCAATTCAAAACACGGGTATATTGTATTGTAAAGTATAGACTGCAATAGTTTAATTTAGTCGAGCAGTTGGCTCAGTTTATTGAATGAGTCACAAGAGTTTCTCATATCTTTAAAAAAATTATTTTATCAGGTTGCCCGGGAGAACTTGAAAGGATACCGATACCAGCTTCAGGCACGACTGGCCAAGCCCCGCCCCCCTCTGCACATGCAACAGCAGCTGAAGAAGAAGGAGGATTTGATTAACACGCTCAGGGAAAGGATAAATGAGCTGGAGAAAATATTGGGTATTTTTTTGCATAGTGCAATAGTTGTTGTTGAGGCTTTGCGAGGTAGAGTTGATGTCAAGTAGGGGCATCAAAATATCGTTCTGTGGGCCTCTTTTGGCCTGCAGGCCATAAGTTTGAGACCCCTGCTATAGAGATTTGATGTATAGGTAAGCCAAAGTTAAGTTGCAGTAGCAAGTGGTTGAAGAGTGCAGTCCTATTTCTTTACTGTCCCTCTATTCTCTGCTTATCTGTCGTGCTCTCTCTCTCCTAGCATTAAATGGTGGTTAGTGTGTGGGAGCTCTTTTTTTCTCAAAACAAAACTAAACCACAGCAGCTTTAGCTGTAACTTTTTAAATTCGGAAAGCTTTTCCTCCTTTACGTAGCCAATTTTTTCATCTCAACTGTCCAGCATCACTTATTTCCCCATAACTGAGCTCCTATTTAGCCTGTTTGTATTATAAAATCTACACCTAAATGAATAGAAAATGAATGGTCCAAGCAATAACCATACAGTTTGCTTATATTATAGATGCGGTGAAATTGTGGAGGTTTGGTAGATTTTTGTTGTGACTGTATACAACCGAGTGATAGTGTAACCCCCCCCCCAAATAAACTGGTGCATTATATACAAAGAGTTAATGTAGCAAAGCCAATTACCCACTGCGCTTTGGGATGGAATTCCAAAATAATAAAGACATTGAAAAAAATTGATAGCAGAACTAGATTCTGCACTAAAAATCGTATGGAAATGCCAAGTTTCATTTATATACTCAGATTCATTACTGACTTTTGAAGTTACCCCTCAAAATAGATCAAGAATCGTCCCACTTTTAGGCCATATCTTGCTATTTAAAGGTCCCCCAAAATTTAGCAACAAAAAATCCCAATAACTTTTTCTTTATTTATGGATTTCTAAAATAAGAAACACAGTTCTTAGAGCTTATTCCTCTTTCATTTTTAATTAAGCTTGTTTTAAAGCAATTTGGATAAAAATGTAATTTTTTGCTACCATTGCTAGTAAATGTCACTTCTAGAATGTTGTTTTGCTTTTCTCCAGAGAGCAATAAAGACCTCTGTCCGTCTGGTGACGAAGAAAATGAGGGGAGTTGTGAAAAGAAAACACCCACTCGGGAGCTTCTGCACTTCATCAAACAGCTAGAGGAGGAGAATGAGGAGCTGACCTCACAGGTATCTCTTATCTGCCTGTTGTAAGGTCAACAGCTGGTCAATACATAAACATTTTAGACTGAATTGTCGATGAGAAAAGTAGTTGTCTTAGACTGGTGGACGTCTTTGGCGTGTCATTTTGATATGAAGAAACACAAGGGAAAAAAATTGGGAAATGTTCCTTTGAATAGGTGATTGTCCAGAACAGGTGGCTTTTAGATCAGGTTTTGACGATATAAAGTAATGATTTAGTAATAGTGACTGTTGCAGCTCAGTAAAACACAGAGTAAAGATTTAACAACTTCAGCTATTTTTCTTGGTAAGAATCAGAATGCTGACTCAGTCATTATGAAATCATGCTCCATAGAAAGGCATTAAGTGACTTGAATTGATACAACTCCTTCTTTCACCTTTTTTCCCCTCTTTTTTTCAGGTACGGGAACAAGAAAGTAACAATAAAAGCCTTCGCAAAGACCTCCGGAGACTGGAAGCAGAGTTGTACCGCTGCAAATGTCAGGTCAGTTGTGTTAAGCTTCAGGGAAATTTGTAGAAATTATGTGAACTTCTAGAAGAGAAATAGAGGAAGGCCTAAATTATGTACTTGGAGGTTTGATTTAGATTCAGATCTAAAAAAGACTGAATAGAGGTGGAGAGCTCTTGTTGGTGACCATACTACAGCGTGGGGTGAGAAAGGCTGATGATGATGTTGATAATGATGATGTGAATGTGTAATATTGCAGAAAATGTTCCCTTAGCTTTGGTGTTTGGGGAGAACCTGGCTTGATCCTGTCGTAGATGAACGTTTCCTCCTAACTGGCATCAAACCCACACAACACCATACCAGTACTAATTTGCAGACATATCGTTTCTTGTGTGACGGCTTAAGTTCTTCTGCACAAAACGTTTAGATCATGTTATTTCTTCTTGATAGATAGCTTATTAGAATGTTTTCTCAGACAGATTCCGGTAATTTCAGGAGGCCTTATGACAGATGTGAGAGTCTTACTTAACGTTTCTTACTTATCTAGCAAATGGGGAAATGACTCTCTTGTTTATTACTTTCTCTTGGGCTTTTATTTTATTTGCAACTTTTACTGCGTTAAAACTGCTAGCCAGGAAAGTGATGATTTGCGGTCCCTTTCAAAATTAAATATTTACTTTATACGTACATTTTTGTTATCACTGATTTCGAATCTTTCATTAGTTTTCTTGTAAAATTCCTTTCAAATCTATTGGGGAACAGTTATAAAATCCCAGGAGGCGCATTTTAGGAAGTATGTTGTCAGAGAGGTTGGCATTTTGGCTCATAGTGTTCGATGCATGTTGTACAAGAACTGTTATGAAGGGGTTCAAGAACAAATGTTTTTTTGGGGGAAATTTTTTTCTATTATTGTTTTGCTTTGATGAGCCTGGCTCATAAATTTCTGTCCTGCCTACAGCTGATTGAGAACGGGATCTATACAGAAGCAGGAGCTGGGAATCCAAAAGACAAAAGAATCAAGGTAAACATTTCTGTATGTTCTGTTTTGTGACCTAAGAAAAGAATAGTTACCTTCTGAGAAACACGTATGCGTAGCCACCAGTATATCTGTAAGCAAAACCCTATCCCCAAACCCGGCCCATCTGGGACATAACGAGCACGGAAAACATTGTTTACTACACAGAATGTTGTTGATTATTTTGAAGATCTTTCTGACTTAGATGCTGGTAATGACAAGGACTACCCTGGGTGGGATGTGGAATGTGGTTTTGCCGATTATATGAATATTCATATTTTATCGCTCAGTAGCTCAGGCAGAGGAGCACGGTAGCCTCAGGAGGTCAGGGCTCCAAGGGTTGATATTTAGGACTCCTAGTTCTTCTTCTTCATTCTCGATGACAGTCAGTGGGTTGTTTGTGGGTGCTCTGGTGTGGCTTGCTCCTTCTTTCCTATAAAGAATCTTTTTGTATATTACTCTCTTGTAAAATCTCTAAACTTGGGCACTTATATGACCTAAATGTGTTGCAAATGCCGTAAAACTATTACTGAACTAAAAGATGATAGTTAAATAGTCAATGCAGTGGTGCGTACAAACTGTGCAGTTCTCTTTAGATCCTTGAAGCTACCGTACAGTTTTCTCTCCAGTAGTGTAGCATATTGCCATGCCTGTAAACTTGAGGTTGTGACGACGAGTGACAGGACAAATTTGAATGTTTGTGATTACGAAGGATTCAGAAAAAGCTATCCAAAAAAATATGAGGGGGGAAATTAGACTTAACTAGAAATCTGATTGTTGTTCAATGTTGTGGACATGTCTGGTCTCTTTAGATGGTTGCTTGTGGTTTGTAGCTATTTGGATGAAATATTGAATTGCTTGTTTCACAGGAACTTGAAGAAGAGAATGAAAGACTTCAGTTGGCTTTGTACAAGACTGAAGGTATGAACGAAATAGTGCTTCTTTTTATTGGACAAGTTAACAGATTAGTAGTCCATTAGTCCATTGTAACACGAATTTCCTTACTTAGATGGGGTTTTTAAAGTGGTGTTTTCTTTTTTGTTTTCTTTTTTTCAGTTAGAGAGGGTTCCACTGGTTGATTCTAATCTTTTCTTTCAGTCTGTTGCTTCTATGTGTCTGTTTTTCTGTTAGTGTGCACTAAATGAGTTAATGATTGTCAATGTGTTTGTCTTTGCTTAAAATGAAAGCTCTGTTGTTGTTTTTTCCCTCTTGTATTTATTTGCTCAAAAGAGACAAAAGAAGATCAACACCTTTTAGCCTAAATGCCACTGAGAGATTTTGCGTATTCCCTGAACTTCGAAACTGACTTTTAAGTACAATAGAATCAAGAAAAATGAATTTCAAAGAACATATAGATTCAGTCGCAAATGAAAAGAGGAAGAGAAGGAGACCAAAAGGATGCTGGACAGATAACATTAAGGACTTGATGGGTATGAATCGAAATGTCTATTCTTGGTTCGTTTGGGGTGCAATGAGCTATGAAAGTAAAGCTGAATGATGATAATTACTTTTTCCGTCAACAGACAAAGCGGCTGCTCGTGAGCTAGAACTGTGGAAGCAGACGGAGGATCTGAAGCTGAAACTAATAGATGCAGAAATACAGAACATGAACGACTGGGCTAAGTACAGGGAATGGATGTCTCTCAAACATGAGGCCTCAAAGGTATGTGCGATTGTTATGGTTTGTTTTTGTTTTTGATCACCTGACATTTTCACAAAGACTTTGTTCATCTGTTGGTGCTGCACTCCTCGCCACAACAGGCCTCCCTCCATCTTGCCTCCCTCCATCTTTCTTGGCTTCTGCTTTGTTTATATGGCTATAAAATTGGTCTATTTTTAATCTCTGAGAAAATTTGATTTACAGTCAGATATATATGCATATAATATAAGATAAGATAAGGTAAAATAAGATACATCTTTATTGTCCAGATCCTGGCTCATTGATTTGGTGTTTCACCACGTACACACGCGCACACACACACCCTGACACAAACACACACACGCACACACACTTAACACACACACACACAAACATGCACGCATGGGCAGTATGCTTGCACTAATAAACAGACTCACAGTCACATGCATAATATAAATGAATTGTATTATAAGCAATAATAATGTTAAGCTAGATACATGCTCAGTATTCTGATCGTAACTCAGTGGTGTTCTAATGCATGCTTTAAAATCATATGAATACTTATAACAAGATGATTAAGATGGATAATGGATGAAAATAGAAATAGCTGAAACCCTGCACAAGATATTTACCCAGGTTACATAGAACACAATACCACTCTCATATGCACCACAAACAACTTTATAATTCTGATTCTTTTAACTCATCTGCTTAAAATCTGAATAGAAATGAAGGATCCATGTAATAAGCATGTAATCTGATTATAGATAGAAAGACTTTCAAGAATTCCGAAGATTTATGTTATACTAGTAAGCAAAAGATCAATGCTGTTCGCCAACTGAACAGGTGCTCTTTATGCAAAAGTTATCTTGACATGTATTGTGTAACGGCCAGTTCCATCTTTACGTTTATTTGCCATGTGTCTCTACAGAAGATTGTTGTGGAGCAGAGGTCCAAACCGACCATTGATCCTACCGCTTTGCAAAGTCTACAGGACAGCCTGTCTGTGGTGCAGACATCACAGCAGACGCTGAAGAAACTTGCAGAACTTCTGCCGTTGTCAGTGGAAACACATGTTAAGGAGACAGGGAGACAGGTAAATTGCTAATAATGATGATAATAAGTGCATTTATAAAGCAAATATCGATACTCTACAGCATGCTCTTTGCACTTTCCAACGATTTTTTCTCCAGCGTGCCCTAGAACACTCAGAAACATTTTGGACTTCCTGAGAAGCATACAGTGGAAGCAGTGGATTGCACATTCCTTAGACACTCTCAAACTGACAAGATCTTTTGCTGTCTATAGGCAAGTACGCATTCCCATTTTGGTGAAGTGTGGAAAATTTGTGTAAACTGCCTTTCCCGAGGACACAATGTCAGGCTCCTGATGGGAATCGTACCCACAACCTTGCAGTTGCAAGTCTGAGAGCCTAACCATTGGGCCACCAACGGGACAGCAGAAAGTGTCACCAATTTATACTTAAAGGGAAACCTGTATTGGAAGTGGCGTAAAAAACAATGCTGTCGAGGGCCAAAGCGGTTATATCTTCACGGAAATTGTCTCACACATTTCTCCTCTGCAGGTGCACCGTGCCCTCCTCGCTGTCGAGTGCAATAACAAAGAGCTGCAGGCCAAGTACAGCCGCGAGATGAAACTGCGGAAACGATTCCACAACCAGCTGGTAGAACTCAGAGGTTTGTCTCAGACTTTGTGTCACTTTATTTTTTTTTGAGTAAGTGTTAAACAGTGCTCGCAACAGCATAAGGTCACATGAGCGCTCGTTTGTGTCTCTACACGGACTTTGCATCTCTAGTACTTTTTTGTCAGTAGGAAATTGGGGCATTATTTCCCGAAATATCGATGCCGGATTAGCAATGTTGGATTTTTGCTTGAACATATTTTTTCAACTATAATCGAAATAATATCGATTTGTCCTTCCGACTTGAGATATTCTTAAGATCTACTTTAGCTTTTTTTACCATTCAGAATTCTCAGATGATGGCCTTGTATCTGGTACAATTGTGACGTACAAATAATCAATATTATTCGTAGTTCTGCTGTTGCTTTCAAAGCAAGCTTCGTCCAAGGTCTGGTTAGTCAGGCCTGTCATCAAGACCCGTCAGTAACACTGTTTCAATCACGCGTTCGCATCATGTGACATGACTTCGGCATGTGAGTTCCTCGTGTGTCAGGGACCGTCCATTGACAAGGTCAACTTAAGTTCATGCATAGTGGTCAAAATGTCTTTCGGGACTTATTGGGGTGGGGGATTTAGACACTTGGACTAGGAATGCTTGACGTGATACTTCAGAATTTAATAAAAATAATGATAAAACACACACACACAAACACATGCAGAGGGCATATATTTATGGACCCCCCTGGAAATTTCAAGTCAGCTTGGCAGTCGACCTGGCACGTTTGTCTTTGATTCTGATTTTTTTCACCAGATCCCGATTTTTTCCCCCCCTCAGATCTTGATTTTTAGATTTCATAGAGTGGCAGGTCTGTATCCAGCAGAGATACTCTTGTGCAAATTTAACCTCTTGTACATCTAATCCATCCAACAGGGAACATCCGTGTGTTTTGCCGTGTTAGGCCGTGGATAAAGGAGGATGGTGATTGCAAGATAACGGGGTCATCTGTTCTGACCTTTGACCCAATGGATGATGGGGTCCTCACTGTGGCCAACAAGTCACGGAGTCAGGACTTTGAGCTGGACAAGGTGTTTAACTGTGACGTGTCTCAGCGACAGGTAAAGGAAATGTAGTCCTTCTTTTCCTTGTGCTTCTGGTCCACTCCATGAAAAATAGAACTGCAGTGACATATGTAATGTGGAGATGATGATTTAATGAAAGAAGTTCTATGCACTGGTAGAGCTATTCTGTATTTTGTTTTGTTGTTCAGTTGTTGTTTTTAAAAAATTAGAGACATCCTTCCTCTATAAAAAAAAACAACCTCCACCGGTCGTGGCTTTATCACTATTCAGAATTTTTTTCTCCTGGTCATCATCCTCATGTTACATGTGTCATTGAAGTGTCATTTTTCATGGAATTGCCCATCTATTGTTGTTGTAGTGGTCCCAAGCTGTTGTGTGTCACTGGAGGTGTCTCTGGAAGGTTCTACTTCCTTTTTGGCCGTCTGTTGTTAATGTTTGTTCGTACTGCTGCGCTATGTTGGTTATTCACTTTGTATGTGGGCTGGGCTAACCATTTGTTCAGTTAATATGCGAGTGGTAGGAAGGCGCCACTGGTTGGTCCTACTTCTTTTCTTTATGTTTGTTGTTTCTGTCTATCTGTCTTGCTTCTTCTCTGCACTACTATATGACCATTTTAGTGTCGATGTGCTTCTCTTTACTCAAACCCAAAACTCAAAGGTTCTCCTTTTACTTGGTTCAGTCATATTTGACAGGGATGTTCAATTTGGATGTCCTGCCTCTTAAGTTTCCTTACTGTGTAGAAAGGGCATCATATTTGCACAATTACCATGTGTTGATTATCTTAGGTTTCTCTTTATCAAAGATGTGATTGCCCAGAACTCCTTTAATTGTTTACAGGGTTCCCACTCAACTGGGACCAGGCCATATGCCAGGAATTTCATTTTCAGCTTTCCTGAAAGGGAAAACACCAGGAAAATGGATGAAAAGCAACACAAATTTTTTAAAAATCATGAGAAAGCCACTGGGTGATTGAAAATAACCTCTCGTCAAACATTTTCTAGACCCCTTTATGTGGTCATGTATCTGATTGGCCAGTATAATGCTTTTCTCTTTCCTCCTCTCTGTCATTTAAACAAAAAAAAACGAACAAAATAAAAAATTTTAATGGTAGCAAATTCCAGGAGAAAACTAGGAAAATGATCAGGACATTTTTTTCTACTCAATAAGAGGGAGCCACGTGTATATTATATTCAAGGGATACTTTTATGATTACAAATTTACTCATTTATCTCGGCACTTTGCTCCTCAGATGTTTGATGAAGTGTCTGACCTCATCTCTTCCGTGCTGGATGGCTACAACGTTTGTATCTTTGCCTATGGTCAGACCGGCTCTGGGAAGACGCACACCATGGAGGTAATCAAGTTGATGATAGAATTCTGCCCAAAGCTGACAAAACACCTTTCATTATTTTTGGCACCAAATTTTTTTTTTTTAATTGACTAAATCAATAGCGTGATTAGGGATCCGACTTGTGTGAAAAAAAAAATCAAAGTGAAACTTTCAATTTTTTGAATAAATTAGCGTTCTCAAATTTCAGACGGCCTTTTTAAAATTATGGTTGCGCTGGCAAAATGCCTTGGTCTTCTTTGTGCGACCATGAAGTGCCGAACCAGTACACCACAGACACCTTTCTTTTGGTTTATATTGTTTTTGTGTCCCTTTATTTCTTTTGACTTTCAAGGGACTTAACTTGTTATTCAATGGGCACACCTAGTTTATAACTTGTTGCTTCCCCTGGAGTAAAAATTTTAAACAAATTATTAATAAAGACTGAGAGGGAGAATTTGCCCTTTTGTCGGAGTCCCTATGGACCCTCCCCCTCTTGCAATTGACAACTGCAAGTGATTTGTTGAAAAATCTATCACCATGAAAATAAGACATCGGAAAAACAGTTGGAATTGCCCAAGATGGCCACACATTGTCGAGGGAAAAAAATGGTTGTCCCAAACAGTTAGACATCTTTAGCACACCTTTCAAGAAACATTTTAGTTCTTTGTAGTAGTGATGAAATTGGTAGTCTTGATGGAATTTGTGCCGTTACAACAGACAATACTGTATTGACGTACATTTTATGTCTTGTGATGGTGTTGAGTGGGGGCTAGTTGGTTGTCTGTAATGGTGTTATATTGGGAATTGTGCAACATTGAACAGTTTTGTACATGTATAATATACCAATTTTGGGCTTGATCTAGCGTCATACCGATAAAGGTGTCAAAACTACCGGATTTGCAATGGGTGCGGAGAGAAGAAGAAGAAAAAAAGCCTTTTTGCAGTGCCTCCCTATATGTATGCATGTGGCCTACTCATGTATGTGTGTTTGCCATCATAAACCAAATTTCCTCATGAGGATCAATAGAAGTGGGTATTTTTCTTTTCTTTAAAAAAATTTCTTGTATTTTTTCACTTTTGACAGGGCCCGCCAGAGGATCCAGGAGTGAATCAACGTGCTCTGAAGTTTTTGTATGAGGAAGCGAGAGCGTCAGCGTGGCATTACGACATCGAAGCCAGTGTCATGGAAATTTACAACGAACAGATTCGGTCTGTACATTTGTATTGTTTGTCAATTGTTGGTTTGTTGTTTTTTTGTTTGTTTGTGGATGTGTGTTGTGTCTGATGGAAAGGCTTTGAAGATTTCGCTGTCACTGGAAATATGGAAGGCAAAGGAGACATGTGTAGACCCAGGGACATTTATTTGGAAAACCTGAATAGCAAAGGTGATGGGGGGAAAATATTGGGACCATATTGGGTTTTCGAGAGCATCCGAGCTGAGAATTGAATGGAGAACTATGATTGCCTATGTCTGTTTCAGATCTGGCACTTTATGATGTGGTGCATTTGTTTATTGATAATGAATTTACTGAGAATAGCTGTATTCAGTAGCTGTTAAGGATTATAGATTGTTGGATTGTGCTGATAACACATGAAAAAGGACCAGCAACTGTAGTATAATATTTACGCTGTTTGCCATGCACACAACTAGCATGAGTTCGTTTTCTGAGAGAGGGAAGTTTTTTTAGTTCTTCTGTCTGGTCAGATGTGATATTCTATCTCACTCAACCAGGGTTCTCCCCGACGGGGAGAGTCGAAGGAGCCGACCTCTTCAAGGATTTAGATTATGTTGATGTTGTTATTATCGATCCAGCAGATTATGTTGATAAAGGCATACAATAGTTTAAGTGAAAAAGAAAAGACTTTTGAGAAGTAAAAACGGGAGTGATAGGTTGACAATTTTATCGTTTAAACTTGCCTGCGCAATAATCCTTGGAAACAAAAGCCCATTCCGGTTACCTTATCTGGGATTAACAGCACTCCACTTGACCAATGACTTTATTTTTAGTCTCGTGTCCAGATGTGGAGGGTATTGGCAAGTAGTGAGATAATTTGTGTTAATGTAGTAGTTATTGTCATATTGTTCAGATTGCATGTCTATGTTCTATTTTTCTCCAGGGACCTATTGAACCCTGACCCCATCAACAACAAACTCGAGGTCAAACTTCGACCAGAGGGAGGACTGCATGTCCCAGGTCTGGTCCGTGTGCCTGTCCACTCCCTGGATGAGGTTAATGAGGTCAGTATTGGTAATGGACAGAAGTTTTATGTGGTGCTTTCATTGTTAAACCGTTGAGCCTTGATCTCTTGAGTCTACTCAAATCATGCACCTGAGCTTCTCTGGGTCCACACTGAGGTGTATGTGCCGAGCCCAAAGTCTTAAAGGACTATTATCACCTTTTAAGTACCAAAATACTTTTGAAATGGCTTCAACGGCCAAATGTCCAACACAATCACCTTTACCACTATAGTTGGATCATCGTGGAGGGCACTTGTGGGAAGTGAAAAAGAGGAAGTCAGAAAAAGCTGGTCTGACTACATAAAAAAATGAACTGATTTGTCGACAAGAGAACTCCTCGATGGGATCTCTCTCTCTCTTTCTTCTGGCGCTGTGGCGTCATAAACGGTCAGCGATGCCGACAGCACGCAAGAACTTAACACTTGCCCGGGGGTCCTTGAAAAGTGCTGAAAGTGGGTTACTGAAATGTCTCAGCAGACCTCGCTGGGATGACAGAAAGAGGGAGTTGGAGAAATATCTCAACATCTTCTTTGTTTAGTTCCTCCTGATGACGAAAGTCAAGGAACGAGTGATAGTTGGTGAATGATGTCGTTTCACTTTTTGAGTACTCCAGGCAAGTTTACGCACTGGTTTGTCACCTCAGACTTCAGTACGGAAACGACTGATAAGTTACTATGAGAATATTTATTACGTATCTAGCTTAACACTATTAATGTTTATATTTACTGTTCATGTATATTATGCATGTGATTGTGAGCCTGTTTGTGAGTGCAAGCATATTAATGTATTATTATGGTTATGTGTACAGATGTGTGTGGAAGAGAGAATGTGTGAGGTAGAAGTGTGTGTGTAGATAGGTATGCACAAGTGCGTGTGTGTGCATGTTTGTGTGTGTGTATGTGTGTGTTTGTGTGTGTGTGTGTGTGTGTGTGTGTGTGTGTGTGTGTGTGTGTGTGTAAAACAATGTGCCAGGATATGAACAAGATAAGATAAGATGTATCTTATCTTATCTAATGTCTTTCTTCTGTCTGCTTCTCTGGATAGCGTTTTTTATATATGGTGGTTGGAGGGCACAGCTTGTAGTTTCTACTTCTTTTCTTCCCTCTGGTGTTCCAGTCAGTCTGCCATGGTCTTTTTCTCAGCACTAAAATGACCTCTACTTTGTCGATTTATTACTCTTTACTCCAGCAAAAACAAGGTGTTATCTTCTAGACTGTCGAAAAATACAATCAAGGTCAAATATTTGTAAAAATAAATAGTTATTAGTTTGCAGTTACTCATTTACGGCTGAAATTATTGTACCTGTTTCATAGCTGAAAAAGGGAAGATCACTAAGACTTATATTTCCGAGACGAAGTCTTATCATTTTCAAAGAACAATGTTCTATAAGAGGTTAAATTTGTGTCATTTCAGATTTCAGAGCAGGGTCGGCGGAACCGAGCGACCGCAGCAACCAACATGAACGAACACTCGTCCCGAAGCCACTGTCTGCTGTGTGTGACGGTGACCGGACTTAACTCCGTCACTGGGGACAGAACCTTTGGTGAGAAACAGTTTTGGCATATGAAGAGCACTCGGGAAAAAGAGGCATAGTCACAAACTGGAAATTGTGAGGGTGTCAATTTGAAACGCTTGTGGACTCATATTTGTTTGATTGGTGGTTTATTCTTATGTTTGTTGAATGGGAAATCTAAGCGCAATAATCAACTAACAGTTGAACAGAAATACAGTTATGAGTCAACAAGCTTTCAGAACTGATACTCTCTTGAGTTTCAGTTTGTGATTATGCCCGTTTTTCACATGTGCTCTTCATATGAGTCAGAGCCTATCTAAATCGGACATAAGTGAGAAGTTTCACAAATTGAGTTGCAATTGTTGTTAAAAAAACTATCACCTTTTCCCTACATTTGTGATTTTTAGAATGCAGTCAATCAGACAATATTTGACGAAAATATGGGAACTTTAATACTGCTAGATGCAGAACTATCAATAACGCCATAGGCTCAATTGACATCATGCTGGGCTTTGGTGTAGATGGCCATGGTTTGTATCCCAAGAGGGGCTGAAGTTTTTAAGGCTCTCCACCTACTTGGCTTGTACTATAATCTTAATTCTGAAAGTTTGCCAATAAAAAAGAAAAAAGTTATTTCTCTTTGGTAGCTGCAATGTACATACCTCTGCTGTGTACAGGAGCCATACTAATATTCCTTCACAAAAACTGCAACTTGACAAGAATAACCGCTAAAACCCAATGACCCGTACCTTAACAACCAAGTCAACTGCAATTCAGCAATGCATACACCTGCAACAATAATAACAAAAACTTTATGACACCTCCTCAAATGACAATAACAACAATAATCACAATTTTGTGACACCATGCGGCCAGCACCAACAACAATAACAACAATAGCTACATCCCAACAATGCCTACACCTACAACATTAAAAACAACGAATGTGACTACAACTCTGCAATGCTTTCACATGCAACAGTAATAACAACTACGACTCCTTGACACCCACCCCAACAACAATAACATCAACAACAACTACACCTCAAGAGTGCCTATACCTGCAACATTACCAACAGCAACAACTATATGCGAAGCAGCGGGCTGGAATCAGTCTCTCGTCAATTTTTGGGCTTGTAGAGTTATTGGTATCATCTTGAAGCTTTTTCACTTGTCTTTATTTGGATGAAAAAAATATCCATGTGTCTTGAATATAGATCTAAGTCGAGATATTTGCAATTGAAGGAGCTGGGGGTCACCTGTTTTCAGAGGTACAATTAGTGAGAAAATGGCTGCAAAAGATTGGTTATTTCCTTAGCTTAAGAGTCTGTGGTAACTGAAAATTTACTTTTTTTGTGCCTTTAATCAATGTTTTTCAGAAAAATCCACACAGAAATGAGTTCTTTAATGAGCATGAAAGGTGTTGAGCCAAATAACAAAAATGTGATAAAAGTTCACAAACCTGCGGAAAAATGCAGGTTTCTTCACTTTGAGTATTTTGACAAGAGCCTGATTCCACCACGCTGCCTCACATATCCACTTCAGCAACAATAACAACAACAATAACCTCAGTGACTACAACTCAACACCACCTACACCTACAACATTAACAACAACCACTACAACAACAGCACCTACACTTCAACATTCTCAGTACAGAGGTGCAGATTTCCCTGACAAATCTAGATTTCTGTAATTGTCTGGATTTTGCTCGACCTCTTGGTACAAGATGCGTTATACAAACATGGTCGATAAATTTCCCCTGCTGTCACATTTCCATGGGATCCAAAAACTCAGGATTTTTTTTTGGCTGGCCAGTTGTCACCCCTGTCAATAACATTTGCATCTCTCTGTTTTCCTCCACAGGTCGTCTAAACCTGGTTGACCTGGCTGGCTCGGAGCGAGTCAGCAAATCGCAGGCGGACGGGGCTCGCCTCAAGGAGGCACAGAACATCAACAAGTGGGTACACTCGTCTCATCACCACGAGTTGTAGACGTAGATGTAGCACTTTAGGGTAAATTTTTGGAATTTTGTAAAAAGTAAAAGGACGCAGGATAGCTCAGTCCGGTTGTGAAGCTGGTCGTCTTAATGAGAGATCTGAGCATGAGTTATCATTACTTTTCAGTGTGCAGAGCGCAGGCTTCAGCCTGCAGAGGTGCAACTGTAGCAGTCAACACATGGGAGCTTAAAAGAACATTTTCTTTAAACAGAGGAACCAGGTCTGAAAGGATTATATACTTGAAATAAATCAGAAAAGGTGATAGTTAGGGTCAAACCATCCTTTACTTGTTCTTTAGAACTATTCTCAAAATACTGACTACAAGTTTGTGGCACTGACACAGAAATACAGGCTTTGCAACTCCAGTCGAAATTCTAAGACGGCCACCCATTGTCAATGAGAATTGTGGTTGTCTTAGTCAGGTGGAGTCTTGGACATTGTCGTTATGATATCTTTTGATAAAATACAAAGGGGGAAGTGGCCATTTGTACTGACAAGCAGCGACTAGAGCAGGTTTGACTCTATTCAGTTGACAAGCACTGCTTGTCAGGGAGCTTTTTTATTTAGGTTTTTTTGAGAGTATCAGGCTCTCCACCCATTTAATTTACTCTTGTCACAGTTTGATGTTGAATGTGGGTGGTTGGTAGGTGCTTTGGATGGGGTTTGCTCTTTCTTTCCGATCAAACATCTATCATCCTGACCTCTCCTCCTTTTTTGTGTATGTTACTCTCTTGTAACATATCTCTTCTTTGGCACTTATATGACCTTATTGTGTTGCAAGTACCATTAAACTCTTGCTAAAAACTGATGTTGAATTGGAAATCCCATCTATTGGTTTTCTTCAGTCCTGTACCTTACCTCTGCTGTCGTAAGGGAAAAGGACGAATGGTCAAAATTTTTCGATTTTGTTATTTTTATATATTTCATAGAGTATTTAATTCTGCATCTGATTGTGTAAAAAATTTAGTCTTATCCTAATCCGTTGTTGCGTAATTGAGAGTTCGTCATTTTCCTGTACACTGGCGAGCTCCGAGCCAGAGCTCAGTGTAAGGGAGAACGACGAATGGTCGATCGGTCAAGGATCACTGCTCGTTCGGCGTTGTCCCCTGGTCTCTGCCATTGGGC